AACTTGTTACGTAGGAATAGCATTGATGTCGGTTAATTAATCAATATACAAGGCGTTGAACATGTAATAAAAATATCGCTTTGATGAACAGCTACCATCAGATTAGCATTTTTACCTGATGAAAGGTGAATACGCTTTTAAAAATCTTCTTAATGAAAACGTTGATGTGTAAGAAAAATTTGATGTACAATATATAATGAAAGTGTAACATCTGCTACATGGATACTCTAGTCATCGCAACATTCACTCAGAGAATTGAGTGAAACTTCGACCAAATTGCGATGCACTTTTCGTGCTTGTGGTGGGTCATTCTAACCTAGTTTATTGCTCTGCAGATGGACGTACCATTGCTACGTGTATTAAGTGTGTCACTATTTGCATATGAACCATTAATTTTTTTAGTGTGCATTTCTTTATGCAGAACTTGACGGAAGTAACGACAGATAAGTGTAATGTAAGGAAGTAACGACAGATAATTAAGTGTAATGTAAGGAAGTAACGACAGATAAGTGTAATGTAAGGAAGCATAAGTGTAAAGCAAAACGCATTCCCCGCCTGAGTGTCTGGCGCCGTGCTCGTCACATTCAACGGAACGCGGAAACTATACAAAGCTTGCGCCTTGCCGAGAACTTCAATTAAAAACTGGCGAATAAATCAGCGAAGAAACCAGCCTATATATATAAGACTGGAATGCGCAAACGAGAGGTGATAATTATAACTGGAGCAGGAATCTCATTATGATTAAAAGGAACGAAAAACTCGTTGCGTTTAATGTTGAGTTTCATGGTGAAAAGTTTAAAAAAATAACAATATTATAGAACTTGGGACGCAGTGAAAGGGACAAAGTCCTTCCGAGTGAAAACATCATCACAACGTTTGTAAAGGGATAAGATTTAGTTACAACAACGAAAAACAGGCCAGAACGAACTGTTTATAACCAGCTGCGCAACCGTAGCGCATATTGTATAGCAAGTTGAAAACGTTCCGGTTGCTGCATGTTTTAAACGTTCAGGTCGGAGCATATTTCGAATGTTCGTTTCACTACATTATTTTCAACGTACAGGTCGTAGCACATCCCAAACGTTCAGGACAGATATCCTATCTGTTACTTTAGCATTAAGATTTGATCGCTCAAGAAAAGTCACTGCTGAGTATCGATCGCAGTCGTATTCGATCACTTGGGATTTTGATAGAATCCTTATATCGAATTCTCATTCTCATTCGAAAATTTAGGAGAAGATGGCAAATTTGAATTATTTAACGAAACTCCAATATGAAACATTAAAATCATATAAAAATTATGTATATCTCTTACTAAGATGACAGTTACTTGCCGTAAATTCTAGAGATTTTAAAAATGCACACCAAAGTTCATACGCGGAAAAATATAATATGGAGTGTTGAAGGAAATAACAAAACTCGAGAGACTGTATCCCAAGCTGAGGCGTCGTTGCATTATTCACGGCGCGAGATATTGACTGCGCCGCGAGATATTCACTGCGCCGCGAGATATTCACTGCGACGCGAGATATTCACTGCGCCGCGAGATATTCACTGCGCCGCGAGATATTCACTGCGACGCGCGAGATATTCACTGCGCCGCGAGATATTCACTGCGCCGTGCGAGATATTCACTGCGCCGCGAGATATTCACTGCGACGCGAGATATTCACTGCGACGCGAGATATTCACTGCGACGCGAGATATTCACTGCGACGCGAGATATTCACTGCGACGCGAGATATTCACTGCGACGCGAGATATTCACTGCGACGCGAGATATTCACTGCGACGCGAGATATTCACTGCGACGCGAGATATTCACTGCGACGCGAGATATTCACTGCGACGCGAGATATTCACTGCGACGCGAGATATTCACTGCGACGCGAGATATTCACTGCGACGCGAGATATTCACTGCGACGCGAGATATTCACTGCGACGCGAGATATTCACTGCGACGCGAGATATTCACTGCGACGCGAGATATTCACTGCGACGCGAGATATTCACTGCGACGCGAGATATTCACTGCGACGCGAGATATTCACTGCGACGCGAGATATTCACTGCGACGCGAGATATTCACTGCGACGCGAGATATTCACTGCGACGCGAGATATTCACTGCGACGCGAGATATTCACTGCGACGCGAGATATTCACTGCGACGCGAGATATTCACTGCGACGCGAGATATTCACTGCGACGCGAGATATTCACTGCGACGCGAGATATTCACTGCGACGCGAGATATTCACTGCGACGCGAGATATTCACTGCGACGCGAGATATTCACTGCGACGCGAGATATTCACTGCGACGCGAGATATTCACTGCGACGCGAGATATTCACTGCGACGCGAGATATTCACTGCGACGCGAGATATTCACTGCGACGCGAGATATTCACTGCGACGCGAGATATTCACTGCGACGCGAGATATTCACTGCGACGCGAGATATTCACTGCGACGCGAGATATTCACTGCGACGCGAGATATTCACTGCGACGCGAGATATTCACTGCGACGCGAGATATTCACTGCGACGCGAGATATTCACTGCGACGCGAGATANGCATGCACCAGCTGAGACACAGGGCATGCACCAGCTGAGACACAGAGCATGCACCAGCTGAGACACAGGGCATGCACCAGCTGAGACACAGGGCATGCACCAGCTGAGACACAGAAAAAGCTTCAGTCTGCGGCTCAAAATTTCAACTCGCAGGAGCAACAAAAAAAATTAGCGCTTGCTTTTAAACGCAGCACTTGTGAGGCTGAAAGGCAGTCCATCTGCTCAGGTCAATTCTCGAATTTAAGTCACAAAAATAGAGCTAAACCATTATAGTTAATTATTATAATACAAGAATACCAAGCCATTATATAGAAACAATTTTTCAAATGTAGATAAAAAAGACGAAGCAAAAGACGAAGCAATGTTCAAAAGACGAAGCAATGAAGTTCCTAAATTCCGATGCCTTAAAATCGAGATTTAAACGCTACGCTGGGACGGTGGGATCAAGCGCAGCTAAAGGGACCGATCACAATAGAGCTTCTGTTAGGCTCGGTAATACGGTGGCAATTTCTGCAGTTTGTGCGGCCCGGTAATACGGTGGCAATTTCGGCAGTTTGTGCGGATCGGTAAAACGGTGACAATTTCTGCAGTTTGTACGGCCCGGTAATACGGTGGCAATTTCGGCAGTTTGTGCGGCCTGGTAATACGGTGACAATTTCTGCAGTTTGTGCGGCCCGGTAATACGGTGGCAATTTCGGCAGTTGCGGCCTGGTAATACGGCGACAATTCCTACAATTTGTGCGGCCCGGTAATACGGCAACAATTCCTACAATTTGTGCGGCCCGGTAATACGGTGACAATTTCGGCAGTTTGTGCGGCCTGGTAATACGGTGACAATTTCTGCAGTTTGTGCGGCTCGGTAATACGGCGATAACTTCTGCAGTTTGTGCGGATCGGTAATACGGAGACAATTTATGCAGTTTGTGCGGCCTGGTAATACGGTGACAATTTCTACAATTTGTGCGTCCCGGTAATATGGCGACAATTTCGGTAGTTTGTGCGGATCGACATTACGATGAAAATTTCTGCAGTTTATGTTCTTTGCGCATAAATAATAACGTTCGTGGAGCCTTGACGCAAAAATCTGATACGTATTTTCTAGTTATCTTACCAGAAGTTTCCAAGCAGCTACACTCGACTGGAAAATTTAGAGCTCAATTAAGGAATAACTAACAACATTGACTTACGTTCATGGGGAAAACGTTTCAAACGTTTTTCCCCATATAACATATGGGGAAAATAGTTCAAAGAAGAAATAGCGATATGAAATATATGGTTTATGGTATATATGAAATAACTGGTTTATGGTGCGGATTTTACGTATTGTGAAGCGTAAAATCCTGGTTTGGTTTCGACTCTGTGAAAATAAGAACCACTGTCGATGTTGAGGATTTATACGATTTGGCCTAATCAAACATTAATTAATTAAATTACCTTATAAATTAATTTATTTTTTATTGATGTAACTGCTTAGTTTGAACAAAAAAGTACTCACCACGAAGAAGGTGGTAACGAGAACAAGACAATATTCGTACGTACCTAAAAGAAAAGAAGTATGTATAAGCAAAAATATTTTATAAATTCCAATTGACGAAGGTTATCTTCAGGAATGAATGGAAATATAGTGAGACGTCAGAGAAAATGTTAACTAACGTCTTCACCAATGGTATTCGAGTAACTGAAACCATTTAATGGATCACAATACAGAGATATTATTTTGAAAGAAGTTAATTTCATATTAAATTTCAAAACATACTGACAGGAACTTTTTGAATTAAGGATGATATGAAATTTAGTGTTATAACTTGAGCATATTGCTTAGACGATGAAGGCAAAAAAATATTGATCAAGTTGAATTTAATATGATAGTAATACTAATAACCGTACTAATACGATAACAATAAAAATACATGAAACTCTGGGTAATATTTGGAAAGGAAATCAATAAAAAGGTGATGAAAGCGAGGATTAAAATATTGTAGCTTCAAGTCGATAAAGTACGCTTGAGTAAGGTATTAAGTAAGGTAGTAACATGCAGATATTACTGAGCAGAGAATACACAGTAATATAAAGTAATAATCTGGAGGTGTTGGTGAGAAAGTAATATGAATAATACCCCGTTAATACCTTAGACAGAGAACGTTATAGTTCGAAAGAAACCAATCATAAGTAGACGAATTAAAGGGTATTTATATACGAAATAAAATAACAAAATTTAAGGTCATAGCACTCCGATATTACTGATAGGAGAACACACAGTAATATAAGATACGCGATACGCATCTTTTACTAATAAGAGAACCTACAGAAATATAAGGTCATAACACTGTATCATTACTGCTAAAAAAACACAGCAACATAAGTGAATTATACCCATGCTTTTAAAATAAATGAATGAATAGTGAATACCCTGTATTACCTTAGACAGAGAGCGGGATGCGTGCGAGTATCCTTGTTGCTGCGGTCGCTGCTGCTGCTGCTGCTGTGTGGGGCCAGCGCTGCTGCTGCTGCGGCCGGGGTGACTTAGCTTGCGCAGCTGCGGCGGCAGCCATCTGCAATATACACAATATTATACATTAAAAATAATATATTATACAAAAAATAGAATATAATACACAAAAATTAAATATTTTACCTTAAAAATGGAATATTATACATAAAAAATAGAATTTTATGCATTAAAACTAAAAATTATACATTAAACATAGAATATTATACATGAAAATTGTCCATTATACATACAAATATAATATTTTACATTATTAATAAAATATTCTACATGAAAATTGTATATATTATACATAAAAATATAACATTTTACATAAAAATAGAATAATATACATAAAAATTTAATATTATACATCAAAAATAATATGGAGTAACGCTAAATAGCCTACATGCACCAGAAACGTTCAACATGTTTAGAGGAGCTACGATGTTCACGATAACTAGAGGTGGAATTACGATGATGAAATAAGATTTCATCGATAATAAATATAGAAGAAGGATAACGATCAATATTGTGCATGAAACATGATAAGGTGTAAGGCACGAGCCATGAAAGGAACAAAATCTGAATAAAAAATAATTCAACAATTCTCGCGTAAACATCGCTCGGCAAAATTGAAGGCAAAAATCACAAATAGAGTTATTTTGATGATAAATGTAAATTTATTCGTTTTATATCTACGAGCCTTTGGAACGCAGGCTTCATTCGAGAAAATCTGCACAGCAGCAAACTTTCCTATAGTCAATATGATTAAAACATTCTAATTCATAAATTGTAAATAATTTACTAAATACAATTTTGAGCACTTGAAATACATCTTCTAATAAACGACTTCATATTGAAAAAACCTACAAATTTTGCTGAAATTATTTGATGCTTAAGTCGTGCCGAAATCGCTGAATTTATGATTCTATTTGGAATCGGCAGTCAGTTTGCCGAATCAGTGCACGGAATCAGCTTTTTTATACAACAGGAAATAGGGGTAATCTCAGTGAGCGAAGTTCATTTTTTAAAATATTTAAATATAAATGAACTTGACCGAACTTGAACTCACCATTTCTAACTCTAACTGTCGATTTATGTTCTAACTATAACGTCCGGTTTTCAGAATCAGCGCCAAAAAATGCTGATTCTACACATTCGGTTAACTGGCTGCCGATTCCATAGAATCGGCAATTCCGCGATTTGGGCACGACACATCAATTCAGTTGGCGTTGGACCAGAAATTAGAACGAGCAACTCACATATTCGAGCACTAACTTATAAATTATTCACACATTCGAGCACTAACTCGCATATTATTCACACATTCGAGCATTAGCTCATATATGGTATGTATATTCGAACTCATATAGAATTAATACACACGAACACTAACTCAAATATACTTCTCACATTCGAGCACTAACTTAACCTTCAATCTCACCTGTAGCATCATTAATTACAGAAACAATTTTTCAAAATTTTTGCCTATAAATGCGTGAATTTAAGGGTTAAATACAAACAGCACGCGGCGAAGTGAAGCGCTAGCCAAATGCACTGCACCTACGAACTGACTTTTCAATTACGATAAGCGAGCGCCAGTGACGATGTGACGCGTCCAAGTCTCATCATTTCTAGGTGCCGCTCGTATCTCGGGCAAACGCAAATTACAATTACCAGTTTCTTGACGCAGAAAAACCTGCAGAAATACTCAATTTTCACAGAATTGAGCTATCACTGAATGCAGCAAATTTAAGATTTATTAACTATTGCGAAAAAAATACAAAATGAGTTGAAAATGGGATCAATAATTTTCACACATATTCAGCAGAGGAACCGTGAGAGGTGCTCAAGTTCATCGAACTGAATTTTCAACCAAACTTTTGAAAATAATTAAAAACAGAATTTTTAATGAATTTCGATTAAAAAAATCGCCGTAAGTGTTCTCGTAACATTTCCTAAACGAATGACGAAGGAAAAATAATGTTTCATAAAACGCAACTTCCGACTCAACTTTTGCATGTGACCCCTTTGATTTTCTACACGACCAAGTCATTTCCCAGAAGCAGCACAATTTAATTTCACTAACATTCAATATGACGTCGAATAAAAAATATCGATAGGCATGCTATTCTCGAGATATCTGATAAATATCCCAAAGATATAAGACATTTTGGTTTATAAAATTCGACCGCAAGAGGTCGACTGGGCAAGCGATTTTCAGGCGCTAAAGATCATCATCTTTGTAAAAGGCTTTCTGTTTTGTTGAGTTTGAGTTGACTTGAGTCCGCGTGCAGGTTTTAGGATAACCACAGTTACGACAGCAAATTTTCTTGCAAATTTGCTGAATGAAAAAATTGTATCGAAATATTGTGGGCAGCTTTAACGCGGGCTACGAACAACTGAGCTAGCATGAAACTATTTGATAATCATACGTTATCGATTATCTTTACATTCTAAAAGTCGGATAAACAAGTAAACCATAGGAGCGCGCATAAGAAATAGAAAATTAAAAACTATGCTAACAAAAAGTTCGCTAAAAATATTTACAATCATCAAGATTCGACCCTTGCGACGTCGAATGGACCAGTTATTTCTTAACCGCACGACTTTTTATCACCAACATTGGATCGATGTGAGGACTGAAGTAAAATATTGATGGACACGATGGCTCTTATGGACAAAACGACCGCACTCAGACCAGCTCGACGCTAATGGATGAGGGTCGTTAGTAAATGATCCAGTGCAATTACTTAGACTTGGCGATTGAATGGGGTCGCTCAAGAAAGATTTGACCTCTTCAATTCCTGTAGAGGCTGTTTGAGGCTGGAAATTCGCAACACTAACGTACATGAAACTATAACAAAACGTAACAAGAAACCGTAACGCGAATGTATCTTATGCGTACGATATTAGAGATTTACGTTCAAGAACAGTAATAAAGGAATAAATTTGTAACTGGTCACAGCAGTTCTAACTTAAATATAAAGGTAAAAACAAATATAATATTTAAATCACGGCAAACTTCCTGATGTAAACATCACACAAAATAATAATAACGTCATTACGAGAGACGAAGACAGAGATCGTATATTACTACTATATAGGTTAACCATACCGGAATTCTACTTTTTCGAGGTAACGCAGTCGTATTGTAGATAGAAATTACCGCTCAGTATAATTTGGAACATGATTGCCCGACAACTACTATATTCGGGACGAATAAGCACTCATAAATTATTTTGAAAAAACACACCATCAATTCCAGTAAAACCGACATCAAATACAACAGTAATAAACGGTCAAGAATCCAGACGTCGTGGCGCCAGCGAATAGGCGGGGAGGCCGACGATGAGCGCGAAACGAGCGCTAGGCTGTGTTAGAAATCAAAATTCAATAATATAATTATTCCATTATCAGTAAAAAAGTAATGAAATTTCGTCCAGTTCAAGATACTCTACTCGTGTTCCTACCGACGGAATATGGAACGACCTTTAATGAAATTTCGTGCATATAAATAAATGACTATTTGAAGACGAGACACTTCTTATCAGAAAAATTTTTCAAATAAATAGAAACAAACAGTCTCTGATGTAATTTAAACATACCTTATTCACATTATAATGCAATACTAATACCAACTTCTGATAAAATTTTCACGGAGAATTCATACTACTTATTATGAATGAAATAAAAAAAATTAGTAAGTACTGCTAACGTGCTTGTGACCCGGATTTGTGAAATGAAACGCGTGGGTTCCATTCCCCACAGTTCCTCCTCATCCAGAGTTAGAATTTTCCTATAATTTAAAAAAATTGCTCTAGAATAGTCTGAATGTTAACTAATACTTAATAACCCTACTTTATGTCACAGCAAATTCAAAATAATTTGCTCATGAAAAGTCTTAATTTTAATCGATTGTCATACCTTATTTATTCAGTATTAGCATATATTCCATTCGGACTCAAAATAACTCCACATAATACAAGATTGCTTCAAGATACAATTGCAAGTGTTCCGATACTGGCCAACAAGGACAATGAAGAGCAAAACAGCGCAATTATTTAAAACCAGTCACAAAGAATTTAAACGGAAACTTATGTAAATTCAAACGTTCGTCGAAAACGTTCCGGAGGCCAGCTTCAGAAGCCTTTTAGCGATCTCTTTCCTTTTAAATTCTTGTTGAACTTGCTATATATTTTAAGCTATTTATAAACCGCTCACAAGAACTGAATGTTTTTTGTCTTTTCGTAGCATACGATGCTGTCTTTTTGACAGTATCCCTATATATTTTCATATAACCCTAACGCCTGCAGATAAACGGATAAATTGGCATTCGTTAATGCGATTCGTATTACTGTCTTACGTCCTAGTAACAATAAATACCGAAATAGACAGAGGGATGAGATACTCCCGGCGATAAACGAGTACACTAAGCAACAAACAGAACGCCCCAGAACGTATAAAGCCTTAGACTACAGACGAAGAGCAGTTCACTTCATGAAGTGCGATAGCTGACGCTGAAAAACTACATCATCGTTTTCGAACATGCACTCAAACAGTTTTGTACACCCCTAATATTGACGGTATTTCTGCTCGTATCCCCGATACGCCATTATTCCGGGAAAAACTGTTTCAGTATGGCAAACACAAGAGCAAGAGGTGCATCGCTATTTAGACAAAGTTTCACCTATTTCTCTGATTATGAACATATATAAAAGCGACGTCTCTTATATAGTCGACAACTCGTTTTTGAACCTTTAATGAAGTTCGCGATATGATACCGCAGTAGCAATTCTTACATAAAACACATTCACCTTGAACCATAACTTGAAAACAGCAGCACCACACTAGAAGTAAAATTATCTCGTAAAAACTAGCACTAATAGCAGTGGCACACACAGTCATATTCACGGGCTGTTCATCCAAACACGGTAGTTTTTCGTACATTACGTCCAAACAGGGTAACTTTTGTACATTACCTACGTCCCTATTCGGTAACTTTTGTACATCATGTCCAAACCTAGTAACTTTTGTACATTATTCCCAAACACGGTACCTACCTTTTGTACATTTGCGCTACCAGGTGGTCGTTTTTATACATTACGTCAATATATATCGGCGCACTTATCGTGTGTCAATAAAAAAAGTTGACGCGCATGTCAACGCTGGAACCTGCCAACGTTGATACCTGCAGTTGTGCAGGTATCAACGTTGTCGGGTATCGACAATTCACTTCACAGACGCGATTCGTCGGAAGTGAAAGCATTGGCCGTGTAATTATATTGAATACGCTTATATTGAATAAGCATTATACGCTTAACGGATATAGACTCACGAATATAGACTCACGAATATTCCGTAGCTATAACACAAATGGAGGTACATGATAGAAGAGCATCGCAGGCCTCACGGCCCATACGACGAATTTCCCAATGATGAGAGAAATAGGTGGGTCTCGATGATCCATTTAGATGAGTCAACCGCGTCTTAATAGCTATGCACTCTTTTGACTCACTTGTCCATTTTTGTGTCATACAGTGACCTATAACTGGCCCTTTGAATTTCAAGTATGACTCACTTGTGGCGTCTAAAGCGTTTTAACGCCCAGATGCTCCCTACGTATCCTACATACGGGTGGCGTCGGAGGGATTTGACCGCGCGTGCAAAATTGTTGATAAAATTAAGAGAATGTTTGAGCAAAATGTTTAAATAAAAAGATTACAAAATAGTTCAAGTGAACTTCAGTACACAAGACTTAATCAATGACAACGATTATGATATTTTATTTACAACGCATGTAAATTGTGTTACGTCGTGACGTTGGAAATTGCGTTGTGTTGCGTCGTGACGCAGTTTAAGGTAAATTGAGGGAATGCTGTTTGCTGATTTATAAGAAAGTACCTAGGGGTTAAATTTGGGGTTCGGTTTTGGTATATAAGAAGAGTAAGTTTAAATTTAAGCATTAACTGATCACGTGGCTAAAAGTCAGAATTATGGTTTAAGGCTGCTAAGTCATCGGTTGAAAGTAAGCTGAAGCGTTCAGGGTTATAGGAAGAGTTCCGGATTAAATGGAGTGTTCGAGGTCGAATGGAGAGTTCAAGGTTAAATGAAAGGCTTGGGGTTGAATGGAAAGCTTATATGGGTTTGAAGAAAGGCTCGGGGTTCAAGATAGGTTTCAGGGTTAAAATATGGGTTCAAAAATGAATGAAGGAATCAGGTTTGAATAGAGGATTCATGGTTAGAGGAAGGGTTTGTTAGTAATAATTTGAGTAATTTAAGGTTCAGAGTTAAAGATAATAATCAGGGTTAGCATAAGGGTTCTTGGTTAGAGGAAGGGTTCTTGGTTAGAGGAAGGGTTCCTGGTTAAATGAACGGTTCTTGGTTAAAGACAGGGCACAGAGTTAGAGAGAATAGTTAGGATTAAAGGAAGGGTTATCAGTTAGAGACAGAATTAAGGGTTAGAGGAAGGGTTGAGGGTTAGAGGAAGAGTTGAAAATTAGAAGAAAGGCTCAGGGTTGAAGGAAGGGTTGAGGGCTGGAGGAAGGGTTGAGGGTTGAGCAAGACATTGGCAGGGGCCGATAGTCGCGGACGCTGCAACACCGCCGGCCCCTCAGCTTTAGGCGGCGGTTGTGGCGAGCTGTGTAGCAGCTGTAGCGTGTAGCAGCTGTAGCGTGTAGCAGCTGTAGCGTGTAGCAGCTGTAGCGTGTAGCAGCTGTACCGGTAGCGTGTAGCAGCTGTACCGGTAGCGTGTAGCAGCTGTACCGGTAGCGTGTAGCAGCTGTAGCGTGTAGCAGCTGTAGCGTGTAGCAGCTGTAGCGTGTAGCAGCTGTACCGGTAGTGTGTAGCAGCTGTAGCGTGTAGCAGCTGTACTGGTAGCGTGTAGCAGCTGTAGCGTGTAGCTGCTGTAGCATTTGAGTTTGATATTGTTTCAAAATATTGTTCAGGCTTACAATATTAAGGTTTACAATATTGTCTAGATTTGCAATATTGTTCAGGTTTACAATATTGTTAAATGCTAAAAATATTTTATTCTGACCTGTTGAAGGGCTTGCGTTTGGCGACAGGAGAAGAGGAGCCCGCGGCGCCTGCACCGCAATCTGAAATAGGCAATAGTTTAATGATAAACGCACCATATAAACTTATAATACAAAACATTTATTCCAAGTTAAAATACGAAGCAGGAGTGTGCCGATTTAAGCAGAAGAGTAGGGCTCGAGCAGGAGCAGACATGGCTACGCAAAAGACAGCAGGTTTGAAGCAATATTTGAAATTACAAGCCCAGAAGCGGCCGATTTGCTGCATGGATTACATTCATTATGTATTAATGCAACAAAAAGGGACATGCCTGCCCCTGTCCTGCGCCCCCGCTGCCTCTATCCTGCTCTGAGCAGCGGCGGCGGCCCGACTTCAATTCAACCCTGCTTCATTATTTTAACTCGGGGGCTGTGGGCGCTGCGGTATTGTCAGTCAACTCGGGGCTGTGGACGCTGCGGTATTGTCAGTCAACTCGGGGCTGTGGACGCTGCGGTATTGTCAGTCAACTCGGGGCTGTGGACGCTGCGGTATTCAAGTACAAACAAAGTCATGCAAATGACACCGCGTTGAATATATTCTATTTGTTCAGTTAGCTAGATGTTATATTGTAGAGGAAGCTACAGCGTGGAGAAGCTCAACATATTTTTTAATGTATATGAGTAGAATAATACATAGATTTTCTTGGTGCATAGAATAACATGATATATGGAGCTTGATAATCTTTGTTTTTAGGTTCAAACATCTTTCAGTGCCTGTAAAAACAAGGCTCATGTATAAACTAAGCATAGTTAAAAAAGGAATTTGAAGTAGCTTTGTTGATCTGCCTCGATTACAATATCTCGATTTACGCAACGCGAGATTTTTCTTAACCTCTACCGCCTGAAATGAGTAACCAGAGCAATATTAGTAGTATTTTAATATTACTAATATAATATAATATTAGTATTCTTGATAATAATAGTAACCGGAGCAATATTGTCACAACCTTCTTCCCAAAAAGGATACGTTCTAGTGAGCGCAAAATGACTAGCACTGATGGTTGCCGCCACGTACAACTTTAAAATGTTCTCTGTTGTGTACAAACGTCCTCAGGTTGCTACACTCAACTAAATAGTTTACGTATAATTGCATGTTCCCGGAGAGTAACGTACGTCAGTAGAGGGTTAAAATGCGTACAATGATGAAGCTCGTTGATTCGTTGTATAACCCGATGCATTCATGAGTGTTTTTTTACAGCAAGCTGACACTCAATTAAACTAATGTGAGTCATCATATCTATAACGATGGTTCTATTTCACGTATTTCGGTTTAAAAGATGTAGTCATATCAAAATCAGGATACGTACAACAGTTTTTCATGTTATACAAACACGAGAATATACTAACCTTTCTGTAACTGGTAGGTGCGCAATATCTTTTAAAATTTCAGAAATTTTTTTCCTTTGAAGGAGCGAAAAATAGGAGCCAAAAAATTGTGCGCTGTTGTTTTCAGGTGTCGAACTTGTATCGTTTCTTCCAGCAGTCGCAAAATGAAGAATACGAGTTAAGATGATCTAAAGAGAAATGAAGTGTGAAGAAGGAAGAAGAGTAGCGATGATGTTGGCAAGAACAAGAGGAAGAATTACGGAGAAAACACTGCACTTGCCAACAATTATTTCTCATTGTGTCAAATGCATGGCAATTCAACGTCCGGCCACAGCGACAGTCAATCAAAATTACCGAGAATTTTTCACTCGACGAAACGCGAGTTTTTCATGCATTTAATTTTCAAATTGGAGGCATTTTTTGGATGAAAAGAATGTATTTCACACCGCATCGACAGAATATTCACAAATAACAACAAAAGATTTTTGTATGTAGGAAAATTGCACGACATATATCAATGTTTATTTTTAAGTGCCACGCACAACTCCAACTTCTCATAACAATTCGAATCTTACAGCGCAACAATGATATTCTTGAGAAGGCATCCTTTCAATAAAAAAAAAAATAGAGTTTGAATCGATTGATTTTCGAATACATAGAAGATGCAGGATCACATTCATCTTTTCCAACTCAACTAGTTTGTAAATCCACAATGTATCACGAGAAAATGACACGGATAACGCTACATTTTTTAGATGTATATTGAAACTAGGCATAAAAAAGTGTCATCAATTACGAAGTCTCCTTCCCTTAATAATCAACTAATTACTAGTGCCGGTCTAGAAATTAAAGTTCATTTATAACTTATGCCTCAAAATTATATTTTGTCCGTCTAAACCTCATCCATCTAGCGATGAAGTCTTCTCATAATCCTACAAATATTTCCTGCTTATCTGAAATAATCCACAAAAATGTTTAGTAACCATTATTTCAAAAGATCTACGATTCTGGTGCGTATAACTTCTATGATCTGCAAACGTAAACGATATGTGAGCCTCAACATTCTAATGTTCCGTTTTTCTAATGTTACTACGGTTTATAAGTCGTAACGCTAAATTAATGATTACTAATTTATATTTTATTCAAGTTTTCATACATGCCAGATCGAGTCCATTTGTCAGAAGCTCTGATATTTGATGGGTTCGAAGAACCAACATGCAACTTGATGAGTCAGAAACCAATATGCAATGAGAAGAAACAGCAAATAATTTGCAATTCAACGTAATAGTACAATTAGAAGTCGATGTGGTGAATATAGAGCCATGTAAACACACAGAGATATTGACATTTTTAAGCTTTTCGTAAGTAAGAACTAGCAGTCAAATGCTAAGAAGACAACGGCATAAGGCAGAAAAATAAGCCACGTATGATGAAGCAACTAAACTAAAAGGAGCACTAGGGAATTACGGGCATTATAATCAATACGTATAAAATTATAATCAAGTTCTATATTTATATCCAAGGCCGGAGCACAGACAAAACGTTCGGGATAAAACACAGACAAAGCAACAATAGCGATGGAAGGTAAGAAGTAAAAACATTAATTACCATAGAAAATAATATATTACTATTTAAATCGGTGTTATGCGAAAAATGTACAGCAGGACGATGAGAAATTTGAGTGTGATGAGATGGAAGGGTAGAATGTGATCTAATAGAGGAATAGTGTAATGAGATGGAAGGGTAGAGTGTGATGTAATAGAAGAATAGCGTGATGCAATAGAGGAATAGTGTGATGCAATAGAGGAATAGTGTGATGCAATAGAGGAATAGTGTGATGAGATGGAAGAGTAGAGTGTGATGCAATAAAGGAATAGAGTGATGTAATGGAAGGGTAGAATGTGATCTAATAGAGGAATAGTGTGATGATATGGAAGGGTAGAGTGTGATGTAATAGAAGAATAGCGTGATGTAATGAAAGGGTAGAGTGTGACGCAATAGAGGAAAAGTGTGATGTAATGGAAGGGTAGAGTGTGATGCAATAGAAGAATAGCGTGATGTAATGAAAGGGTAGAGTGTGACGCAATACAGGAAAAGTGTGATGTAATGGAAGGGTAGAGTGTGATGCAATAGAGGAATAATGTGATGAGATGGAAGGGTAGAATGTGATCTAATAGAGGAATAGTGTGATTATATGGAAGGGTAGAGTGTGATGCAATAGAAGAATAGCGTGATGTAATGAAAGGGTAGAGTGTGACGCAATATAGGAAAAGTGTGATGTAATGGAAGGGTAGGGTGTGATGCAATAGAGGAGTAGTGTGATGAGATGGAAGGGTAGAGTGTGATGCAATAGGGGAATAGTGTGATGTAATGGAGGGGTAGGGTGTGATGCAATAGGGGAATAGTGTGATGAGATGGAAGGGTAGAGTGTGATGCAATAGGGGAATAGTGTGATGTAATGGAAGGGTAGAGCGTGATGCAATAGAGGAGTAGTGTGATGAGATACAAAGGTAGAGTGTGATGCAATAGGGGAATAGTGTGATGTGATGGTAGGGTAGAGCGTGATGCAATAGAGTAGTGTGATGAGATACAAAGGTAGAGTGTGATGCAATAGAGAGATGGTGATGCTAACGGAGGAATATAAAAAGTAGTTCTATACAGTGGAGAACTGGGATACTTTACACTGACGGAATAGAAGGCTATACAGTGTAAAACTGAGGTACTTTACACCGATGAAATAGAGAGCTACATGGTGAAGAATTGGGGTACTTTACAATGAATGGAGTGGTTTACACTAAATGAATGGAGGAATAAAGAATCACAAATACGGTAGATATCGTGAACGCCTTTGGCATGGAGCCGAATTCGTAACAGGGCACTGCGAAGAGAGGAAGTTTCTGAATGCAAGAGCTTCTCCAGTAAAAGAAACGCCGCTAAAATACTTTAACAACAAACACAGGCTCTCTGTGTTTCTACACATGGACACCGAGCAACAACACAGAGCGGGGTTGAATATCAAGAGGTCAATACAGGAGACAGTAAGATTATTACAAATTAAGGCTTTGGTAGAAGAAACGACATGGATAGTTTGGAACGATGTAGAGAGAGAAAGCGTCGCAAACACCCTGCATCGGCAGAGGCAGCTGTGGCACTGAATCCACAAACTTGCAGAAGCCACGGCTAAGCAGCTTTGTGACCGTGAAAATGTTAACTTAATAGTAAACCATAGAACGAAACAAGCTATAAAATATTTATAGTCAGATTTCTATAAGAAACGTACTAATGTTTATCCAAAAATACACAATTTTCTTCCTCGACAAGCTCGCAGATGCCACGGCAAAGTAGCTTTGTGACCGTGAAATTTTAACTTTTTAGTAAACCATAGAACGGAACAAGCAATGAAATATTCATCAGATTTCGATATGGAACGTACTGTTTTTCCAGAAATACGCAATTTTTCGATTTGACAAGCTCGCAAATGCCACAAATAATGTAGCGTTGTGAACGTGTTAAGGTCACTTAGAAGTAGAAGTACGGACATTTTTTGTGATATAAGTAAGTGCGGTCACATTTTAATACATGCAAATACAACCACTTTGGAGTATAATTGGGTATGGTCACTTGGTGGTACAAGTACGGTCACTTTGAAGTTCATTGTAACCAGATTTCCATTTAAACGTACTATTTAATATCCTGAAAGCCAGAATTGTTCGACTCAACAAGCTCGCAGATGCCACAGACCAAGTAGCTTTTTGACCGTGAAACACAGTATATATAGCCATGTTAGAGTACCGGTATATCATACAACGAAACCTGATGTAAATTAAATTTTATCAAATTGCCATAAAAAGTAATGAATATCCAGAAAGTTTTGAATTTTCCAACCCCCAAAAGTTCGCAGAAACCAGTGACGTAGTAGCTTTTAGCAAGAAGAAAAATTGTTCACTGTTTTAGGCATAATTATAGCGTTGAAAGTAAACTAAATCATCGGGTCAAAGTCCGTAGACTTCTATAAAAAATTCTCCCATAGACAAGTTGTCCATTACACACAAATACCGTAGACTTTCCTCAATAAATCTTAAATGAAAGAGAACTTCACTCATCAATAGTGTTGGAAACATACTGGAAACTGTAGCACAAGTTATATGTAGATAATAATTAACGTAAATGTCGTTCAAACTATCGCACTATTGAATTTAGGCAATGACATAAATAACCTTTGAACAGCCGCAGTAGGTATTGAAATGTAGACAATAAATAACGTTACAAGAAAAGATGGGAGATCAGGAATAAGATAATACAAGATCAATTGGATGGTCAGAGCGCAGCAATCAAACAAGCAAACGAGTCGGTGACCGCAAGGTCGTTTCCTGACAGTCGGCGCGCCGAACTTTTTTTGTGGGCAATAAAGATGATGAGTCAGCAAATTAAGTGCCAGCTGGTGCATGATGGTGCCAGCTGGTGCGTGATGGTGCCAGCTGGTGCATGACGGTGCCAACGCAACAGCTGGTTCCTAATTCCGCAGGCTTAGCTGCTGGTGTATAAATCATTCTGCAGGCCCAGCAGCTGGTACATAATTCTGCAGGCCCAGTAGCTGGTGTTTAATTCCGCAGGCTTAGCTGCTGGTGTATAAATAATTCTGCAGGCCCAGCAGCTGGTACATAATTCTGCAGGCCCAGTAGCTGGTGCTCCCGCAAGCAATTTTAACAAAATTCAACAATGCTTAACAATAGATCGATACGAAAATTCAGAACCAATACGGTCAAGTTCGAAAACGTTTAATTCTATTGACAACAAATTTTTAAAAAGGTGCTAAAAGCAAGTAAATTGGAGTTGGGTAACTTAGGCAACAGACAATGTCTCTTCACAATCTATGGCAGTAAGATCTAGATTGAAGAAACGGTACAGAAGGAATATAATGGCCATCAAAATTAGTTCAAGCGAAAAGCACAATCTTTGCATAGATTTCGTGTGTAGAATTCGTAGTTAAGACGAAACTGTTTTTTATTTGGGCTGATTTTTCGATATCAATAATTAAATAGCTGAGGCCTTAATATTAAAAGTTAATCGGGAAAATTCTTTTAGAAAGCCAGTAGTTATTAAATAGCGAATTAATATTAATGGGACTCGACACGAGACTTCGCTAGCACGCAAACGCCAAACATTCACGGCAGCCACGCCCTCAAATGGATAATTGGTCTAGAAGAAAAAAATTAAAATGTGCAAAAAGGATGCGAGAAATCTAATTTAACCTCAAGTGAAATAAATATTACTGAATATTCATGGAATATTTATACTTAACCCTCTACCGCCGAATGTCACTCTCCGGGAACATAACTTTCAACTTAAACTACGTATACGTAAACTGGGGAGTGTAGCAGCCTGAGGACGTTTGTACGCAAAAGGGAGTACAATGTAAAAAAGTACATTTGGACAAATCTCATTCATTTCATTGAGTGTGATGAAACGTGGCCTGGTTGCATCAAAAATTTACCAGGTTGTTATGTGCTGAGAATTGGGGAACTCAAAACTACTACACGATATTCAGCATGGCCTGAATGCTGAATTTGTAACTTGGCATGAATGCTCAAATTTCACCACAATTTATCGGCAGCAAATAAAAAATTAAACCCTCAACTCTAAACGCGCGAAAAACTTGAGAATATTTCTTTCACTTGAAACAAAAAATTGAATTCATGCCAACAGAGCCACATAAACAATTAAATTGCTCCAAGAAAAAGTATACTGAAAGACAATACAGAGGACGTTTGAAACCGTTATTCTTGTTGCTTGACGATAGCAGGCACATAATTTTATAAATTCAACTTGTAACTTAAATTATGTAATTTCTTGACCCTTGTTAAACAGCATAATGCTTCAACGCAATAATCGTGCAGGATTTAGGTTTAATTTTTTCTGTGCAGTCCGACAAAGATTTATTAATCCTAAGTTTTCTGAAATTAAAATTATAAATAACGCATAATTATTTTCGCGCCAATCACCATACAATCGATCATGGTTAATTGGGAAAATTTGACGTTAATTGGTCGGCTACTTCTCCAAATTCAATTAATTAAAAATTTATAACTGAACATTTGCGACCGATGCCATTATTGATCCAAGAAAGATTAATCTTAAAATCAGTTTAATTCGAGGGTACATAAATTGTACCTCTAAATATATTCTAACTTATCTCATTCACGAATCAACGCAAATGAACAAAACTTCAATAATAAACAGGGAAACCCAGTAAGAATTAATTTCTACCAGATTGTTTATCTGAAATCAATGTGATTAGTGTGCAATTAAACGAATTCGGCGGGCAGCTGAATAGCGTGGTCAGGCTCCCCAAACTCGAGGAATAATAAAATGCTGTCAGTGACAGCTGTGCAGCAGTGATAAACTGCGTCCAAGTGAAGGATAAGTAATGAATTAGAATAAGTAAGTAACTTGATGACTCAGTCAAGAAAGAGTCAGAATCGAAATTTTTAATCCCCTTCAGAATCGAAATTTTGCTATAGGCCACTCAAGCATCGCCGGAGAACACAACATGCAAACGAAATATTCTGGTTCAGACTAATGAAATTCTCGAAGGTGAAAAAATTTACTTACACATAACAAAAGGTCTTACGGTCTAAATAAAAAAATTACAAAATACTCAATAATTATCAATAAACAAATGAACGACTGAGTATAACAAAAACAAATGAACGACATTGAATCCACTTTTTTCCATAAATGAGAAAATGAGCTAAAAAGCACTAATTATCTGCCTAAAAGCACAGTTTTAGGCAGATTACAATAGACCTCATACTTTATATTATATATAATAGACATTTATTATATACATAATATATAATAGACCTTTTATTACAATAGACCTTTATATTACAATAGACCTCATACTGAATATTAGTCAAAAGAACACAAGGAAATGTACTCACCAGTCACGGGCATGTCGAGCATAGAGCGCGTGAGTCTGAGCACCGACAGCGGAACATATCCCTCTTCGATGACATAACGGTTCACCGCAGCATTCCCACCCGCGGGGGTAGCCTCACTTTTGCCAAGACTCGCAGCCTCTGTCGTCTGATCGACATCACTGTTGTTCTTGGCAGCGTTGGTAGCCCCGTTGCTTTGTGGTGTTGAAGATGACGTTAGGGTTAGACGAGCGAACGCCCATTCAGTAGGATCTCTGGGCGCGAGGCAGTGAATGAGTGAAGATGAACTACACATAGATGATATTCCCGATGATTTGCTTGAATTGTCCGTTGAAGAGTTTGATGATGAGTTGTGCGAGAACCCAGATTTGGCAGATATGTTAGACGTTGAGGATTTCGATGATATGTTCGATGAAGTTGATTTGGAAGATATGTTGGATGAAGACGTGGACTTAGAGAACTGTGATATGGATGTAGGCCCCGTGGATGAAGAAGGATGGTCCAAAAGTTCGAGGTATTGGCCGCGAGAAACTGACAACTCTCCCGTGGATGCAGCGGTGAAATCTTCCACCACAATAGCGCAATCCAGGACACCAGAGATCCCCTGCACATCGAAAAAATAAATTCAATTAGCTTAGAGTGAAATTCCAGAGCGTTTGTCTAATAAATGTGATTGAAATTAATAGAATAGAACAAATTGATATCAAAAAGACATGCGAACTTGATTATACCTCTGACAAATCAACAAAAGCAACTATTTCTTGTTATCCAAGAAAACAGGTTTTAAATTAAATGATGCAGATATTGCGCCATCAAGAGACGAAGAAAATTTTTCAAGTGATAAAATGTGTTCGTACATAAAAATTCAATTCAAATCTAGGCGCCGCCGTTCGTAAATCTGGAAATTTTCGCGTCATATAAACTCGTAGGTTTTAAACCTGGGCTCATTTGACGTCGACAGTATAATTATAATGTGAAAAATTTACAGAAATCAGTGTAACATGACCTGCATCCAATTTAAAGAATCGACATCGACAGTACACCAGAACCTGTTTAAATAAATGACAAGCTTGACGTAGACTTTTTATCCAACACCTATTGGAGTTTTCTTCTTGTCCATCTCCTACATCGCGTGGCATGCGCATCGTTCAAAACAATTTCTAGACGTTGACGAATGAGATTTAAAAATTTAGTGCGATTTTCGAATGGAAATTTAATGTTTGGATTTTATTTAATGATTGGAAATAAAATGCTTGTTGCACTATTTGTACCACCAATTTCGAATGCGACTAAAAAGCAAGAACATCTTTGAAATTATGAGCCACAGTTGCGGGATGGCCTCATGTCCATGAGAGATATATGAAATTTACTGAATTTCCTAACACAAACATATGAAGTGAGAAACAGCTGGCGAAATTCAAACGACATGTCAGTGACCGTAATTGAATAATTGCTAGTCGACCGCATTTGGTATGATTTGGTGTGTTATGATTAATAATATGGACGATAATAATAACAGGTATTATTAATAAGATAAATAATAATAGGTATTATGAATTATAATACAGAGAGCACTATAGCCACGTCTCACCAAACTGGTGGTCACATCAGCAGATTGGCAAAGCGTGTGAATTAGTGAATGTCTGGAATTCGCCGCCGAAACACAAGAACCATTGTTTCCTAGTACAAGGATATCATTTCTATGTACATCTTCGTTATTTGCATGGCAGTTTTTATCTTCTTTGTTAGGAAAGACGCTTCGTATTTCAGATAAGCATTCGGCACGCTTACTTCCTGTGCACTCTAGATCCAACCCTTCGTTTACAGATGCCTCAATCACAACTTCAGAATCGTTAAGATTGAAAATAATGCTCTTCATTGTGTCTATTTTCTTAGCTTCACTAACTTTGGAAGTTGCTACTGCTTTACTTGAAAATTTTTCAGACGAATGACGTGTCCAGGAGCTCAAATGCATTTCGGAATTTTCGCATGTATGAAATGGATACTGAAAAGGAGGAAATCTCAAAACATCCAGAAAATTTTGGAACGGTACTTCTTCGACATCCAATTTACAAGAACCAGTAGTAATGCAGTCAGACGGGCTGATATCGCAGGCAAGTGGACAACATTCTGAATTTGTTTTCGTTGAATAGCATGACGAAGCCGAAGAAACAAGCAATTTATTTCTACTTTCACACGCAGTGGAACTGCCATTGATATTTTTGGATGCCATTCTACGAAGAAATAATTTGGAAAAGCCAGGTTTGGTATCCACTTGGATACTATGACTTACGCCAATCTTAGGCGGAAAAAATGTAAGAGTTTTGTTATCAACAGAAGCGTTTGGCTTTTCATTATTTATCGTTCGTAAAACCCGAAGGCTTAAAGTCCTTATAAGGCTCTTGGATTCTTTCTTTTCACCCGCAAGTAATTTCAAATTTGCAGACAAGGAAGATTCGGCTCTGGTAAGTATGGACGATTCCGGCTGGACGGGTGAGAGGTATTGCGGTGGATCCAAACATTCGTCATGATTCATCGCTGAATAACTGCACGTTTTGACTCCAGTCCAAGCATTGGTTTCTAGGTTCGTCTGCCTTAACAATAAACCATGCAAGGCTTTCGTAACTACACCAGCGGGAGGTGGACAACTATTAGAGCGAATCGCGCAATGTTTTTCATTAATTTCGTTCACATTTACAGATATCATCGTTTCTGAATCACTTTTTGCAGTAAATTTCGACGTCCTACTCACGGTCGATTTCGACTTTTTATTTGCATTGAATTCCATCGTCATTAGGTTCATAATAGGTTACACTTGAGAGTGATTCTCCCTCAAGCTCTTATTTGCCTCAGATTTCAATTACATTTCCTTCCAGCCTTTTCTTCAAGTTATTTTCTATGTCAATGATATTTTCTCACAGCCAGCCTTAATTTTATAATTTTATTTTCCAGGTATCTAGACGATCCTACATTGGCAGTCCGGCGTTTAGAGTAAGATTTAGGTACGCATTTAGGGTAAGATTTAAGCTCGCTCAGGGTAACAATTGAATCACACTTTTACGGTTAGATTTGGGCTCACGTTTAGGGTAAGATTGCAGTTAGCATTTTGGGTAAATTTTGAAGCACATCAGGGAGCACTTGTTCACCAAGCAACGAGCCTTCAGGACAGAGTGCTTCACTGAGCTGGATATTTAAATTAAACGCAGTTTTCTTTGCACCACACTGAAACAACGCGTCACTTTACGAAAAATCATACTCATAAACTGAATCACAATAAATAAGTACCAAAAGAATCGCTGACATTGATCAAACAGATATTTATATGAATGGAAATCTCTGAAAAAAAGGTTCCGTATATTTATACTTGTTAAGGTAATCCCCATCATTCGAAACAAATCATTTTTGTTATATCGTCTGACAGAAGTTGCTGCTGGCATCTCGAGTTATTACGCATTCGTTTTTATTATCTCTTCAGTAAACGAAATAGCCGATATTAATAATAATAACATTTTATCAGAAATTTTCTGGTCAACGTGGAGCTGGAAACATGATTGTGACAGAGACAAGAGGACGAATGTTACGGTCGTCATGCCAGAGACAATATGGCAGATATTGCGGCCGTCATGCCAGAGACAATATGGCAGATATTGCGGCAGTCATGCCAGAGACAATATGGCAGATATTGCGGCCGTCATGCCAGAGACAATACGGCAGATATTGCGGCAGTCATGCCAGAGACAATACGGCAGATATTACGGCCAGTATGCCAGACAAAATATACATGACATATGTTACAGGCTTCTAAGTCACACGCGCGAGTCCCGCGGTGTTGGCAGGTCGTCAAGACGTGCCGGCGTCAAGCTGCGTCGTCTTGACGAGTGACAAGTGACGTGTGACGAATGACGTGTGACGAATGGCGAGTGACGAATGGCGAGTGAGGTGTGACGAGTGACATATGACACGTGACGTGTGACAAGTGACGAGTGACAAGTGACTAGTAACGTGTGACTAGTAACAAGTGACGAGTAGTAGAGAAGTAATGAAACTATCTATCTAATTATAATAGAGTGAATATCGGCAAATAAAATTGAAATTGTTAAAAAACGCCTGCGTAAATAAATAAACATTCTCAAAAAGACTAAGTGTAAGAGAATATAATGCGAATGACAAAACTACATGAATGACATAAAACTGAAAATTGAAAGGCAAAACTGAATGAATGCATGAATGATAAAAACTTCTGGCGAAATGTCTAGAATAACGTATATAATTTTTCATAAACATGATCGAGATCAAAAAGGAGAAACAGAGTAGAAAGCAAGCTAATTCTAAAAAATAAAGACTTGAAAAAATTCAATCGAGTCTGATACGGTAAATAGCGATAGAGAATAGTTACCATGCATTTTTTTTCGAATCTTTTCACCGAAAAAAAAAATAGTTTTCAAAATGCTAATTAACTAAGAACTATTTTCAAATACACACAAAGAGTGATATCAGTAGCCGCACAAAGTTACTCTAAAAGAGCATGAAAAATCCATAACTGTGATAGAATTCAGGCTAGATTTTATGTAAATAATTCTTAATTGTAAATAATTAATAATAAAAAATATAACACTCCTAACTAGCACTACTCTCTCGCATCTAGAGAGAAGCAAGCGACAAACGACGCCCAGTCCTGGCAAACTAAGGGGGCAGGTTCACGGCGCGTTTACATGAAGCCTTTTTATAGATCAGTTGCAAGGGAGAAAAAATAATATTAGGGACAAGGAGCTGAGCTTCCTTGTGTGTCCAACAGAGCTCGGCCAGAGCAAACATGTTTGTCTAGCTAACATTGGCTGCTAATTTTGACACGCCGCTACAATGGACTCAAGCCTAGCAATCACTTATAAATCTCACGCTGCTACTGAGAGACCTGGCGGATGGTGAAGAAAGTGACTATAATAACTTGACATAAGTAATGAACGGTAGGTAATAAACAACAGGAAAAAGATGAAGAAAGCAAGTTATAACTTATTCAAGTTATAACTTAGCATGTAATAAGTAAAACTAAATGACATGAGCAGTGATGGGTAATGATAAAAATAGTAGAAAAAGAGAAAACTTGAGATAAGATAATATCGCAAGAAAAAAGTGGAGTGAAGACGTTTAATGCACGTAATATGAAATGGATCTTGACATTGTAAGAACACCATAGATAAAATTAACTTTAGTTCAAGAAATGTGAAAAAACATCAGAATAAAAACAAAAAAACAATGAAGATAACAATACTCAATTCTGCAGAATTGCTTGATGATCAACAAACGGGATGATGTCGTAAAAAGAAAGAATATGATCTTCGGATTGATAACCCTTAAAAAGTATGAATAAGATGTCATATGCTCAAACTTTTAAATACGGTCAAAGAACGAAAATTAAAAAATAAATCACGTGGAGAATTGACGAAACACAAAAAAGGATTACGAAATTGAATGAAACTAGAAAGAGGTATGACATAGAAGTTATATAGAAGGTAAATAGTTATGATATAGAAGAGGTATATATAGGTATATGATATAGGAGATGTATATATGATATAGAAGAGGTATATATGTATATGACTTCTCTCTCCACGAAGCACCCAACAAAAACAAGGCGTTAAATCACAGTTTAGAAGCAATACGAGAACTGCAGCCTCTCTTCCATCTGAAGTGACAGAGCATCACCAGATGAAGCTACACTGCCGACACCACAGCACGCGTCGCACTGCAACCGGGGCACTGCTGCTGTGGCACTGCAGCTGAGCAAGGCATTGCTGCTGAGCTAGGCACTGCTGCTGTGGCGCTGCTGCTGTGGCACAAAGAACGGCTACGTCATCTGCACCAACTGCCTTGGCTAAACCATCACTAGCATGTCACCGGTACGGCATTACACCAGCAGCGTATGTTTGTCTCAAGCAGAGACGCGTGTCACCAGCAGCGTATGTTTGTCACAAGCAGTGACGCGTGTCACCAGCAGCGTATGTTTGTCTCAAGCAGTGACGCGTGTCACCAGCAGCGTATGTTTGTCTCAATGCCAAAAATTTTTATTTGCACTGAAGTTTTGCAAATTATATTTTGAAAAACCATTTTCCTTAAAAAATTGAGAATTTTTATGCATGGTTAGAAATTAAGAGTAATTACGAAGTTATGCGCTACAGAAAAGTAATGAAAAAGTAAAAAGTAAGTAAAAAGTAAGTAAAAAAAAAGTAAGTAAAAAGTAAAAAGTAAAAACATTGGGATTCACTGCTTTCATTACATGACCTGAGCACATCAAGACCCGAATGAGGTCTTCGAATAACTGGAAGAAAAATATCCGCCAAGGTCTTATTCTTTTTTCATCAATAATAAACTTTTGACGAACATCCGGATTTTTTTTAGGAAATTCGTCCTAGTCAAATATGATCAATACTGCCGCGTGAAAACCCCTCTTTTCTAAATTAGGGCAGATAGATACAATATAGAAAAATGTTACTTATCATAAAAAAATTCTAATAGATATTTTTTTACTTACTTTTGGTTTAAGGCAGGCAGATATATATAAAGAAAACTTGTATCTTCTCTTAAAACAAATGAACGCAAAATCCAAATTTTCACCATCTATCTTTTAATCGCTTTTGGTTTGAAACAGCGGAACTCTTTGCATTGAATTGATCGCCCAATACCAAGTCATTCATGTGAAACATTTTTAATCATTAATATCAATGAATTCATTCAACTTAATTTTTAATAAATTGTTAACATTTTATAAATATTTTGCTTTCCGCGGGTCTAAACCAAGAATTTGAAACTCTCAAATAACACAACACTTATGTTTTCCAGATTTCCTCTTTCAATAATATAATGCAAGTCCTAGTTGATCGATCGATACTTATTATCTAAAAACTAAGAAATTCTTTCCCTTTTAGAACATAGAAGACTTCAAGATAATTTATAACACGAAATAAAACATTACATAAATTCTGTTGTTCATAAACGAAGTGATAAATACATTATGTATTAATAAACGTAGTAGTAAATAGGTAAATTAAGTTTACTGTGATACCTCGACTTACGAGTTTAATTTGTTCCGTGACTGAGTTTTTACGTGTGAAAAGAGTTCGTATCTGTAAGCAATATTAGTATTTAATGTGAATTAACACAATTGGTAAATGAAATGTAGCACAGAATCGGTTCTGAAATTCGGTTCGCAAGCAGACATGTTCGTACGTGGGGCAAAAAAGAACTCGAATTTCCGATTAGTGTATGAGAAAGTTTGCAAGTTGAGGCGTTCTTAAGTCGAGGTACCACTGTAGTGCAGAGATACCACTGTAGTGTAGAGGTACCACTGTAGTGTAGAGGTACCACTGTAGTGTAGAGGTACCACTGTAGTGTAGAGGTACCACTGTAGTGTAGAGGTACCACTATAGTCTATGTACTCACCCCGCTGGAGGAGTCGGAAGCGAAGGACATGAGCGACACCCGATCAGCTGCGACGGCCGGCGGCTCGAGGTCCTCCGCGGCTCTGTAGTTATTCTTGTTCTTGGAGGAATTGGGAGGCGCTGACCGTATAGAGGCGCTGTGGCGAGTGGCCTCTAACTTGCCACCGCCAGCAGTGGCAGTGGCGGCCATTACCGCCACTGTGGCGTTAGCCACATTCTTGCGGCCGCCACTTGGACTGGCCACGACGCTGCCACTTGAGGCGGTCTTAGCAGAGCTCGACTTGAGTGACGTGGTCTTGCTAGACTGGCTTGCGAGGCTCGATGACGAGGACTTGATAGACGATGAGGACACAGCGGCCGTGGTCTTGGCGAGGTGATTGCTCAGGTATGAATCTTGCTGGACTTGACGTAACTTCCGAACCCAAATCTGTTTACTCTCCACAGAATTCGCCCTTAGAATCATCTTGGAGTCGTGAGTACCAGTCCGGGAGCCGCCCCACAATGCAAATTTACATTCATCTCCCTCGCTGTGCTCTGAAAGTCCCAGTTCAGCCGTGACCAAACGTTGCTTGTATTGATACTTGGTCGAGGCGCCAGACTGTGGTCCTCCAGAAGACCCAGACCCTGAGTTGGTCTGCTCCTTGACCTCCTTGCAGAAGACCACGTGATGTTCGAAGAGGAAGACGTGGCGTTCGCGATGTTTACGCAGCAGTTGCCGCGGATCCCACACCTGGAAGGAATCCTGGAGGATGACGTCGCCGAGTTTGTCGATAGGAATATCACATCCTTCCAGCATGGACAAATGAAGTGCATCGTTTGCCTTCTTCGGAACGTTTTGCATGACTTCGAGACCCTCCCTTATTTCCCCGGGAGTATCTTCCTCGCAGCAAGCAAGCAGCTCTCGAAGCAGGAGTTGGTATTTCGTGATTCGCTGTACGGGTTTGATTAAGTAAGCAGGTATAGGATGTTCGACGTTGTGCTTGCGTTGAACTTCTTCATAAAAATTACCAGCATCGTTAACCAGAAGTTTATTAGACTCAGGCTGAGCCTTGCAATACGTAACGTAAATATCGAACTTATGAGCGTACGTCACAAAACAATGGCCGGCGTCTTCAGGCATGGCTTTGTATTTTTCGAGCTCCTGAAGAAACGTATTCTTATGGAATTGCAATATCTCTTCCATGTTACAGAAAATAATATGTTCCTTGCCCTGCAGGGCTTTAGGCGCAGTTGGTTGCCGCGTTTCATACATATAACAGCTGATGCAAATTTCCAGATCTTTGACGTAAGTTCTTTCGGTGTCAAGAAGCTCCTTCATGATAAGCTCCTTCTTTCGCGCCGACCGGCGTTTTTCTTCACTCATCTCCATTTTAGCGTCGGCGACAGCGGCCACTTGCATCTTATGTTCAAGAGAAGGATCGCTGTGACGATCCAACGACAACGAAGCTTTGCTTTCCTCACTGCAGATCCCCAAGCGTCCTTCTAGCTGCATCCTGTACTTATCCATACGCGCGGAGAAGTTTTTATAAGACAAATCCACCCGCGCTACCCATTCCCTGATAGCACTAGCGTGCTTGTGGCCATTCTCTACCAACTTATCAGCGAGCTGTAAAATCATCTTAACGTGTTCCCTAGTATCTTTGGCAGTGACTTTAAACATATTGTGTTCCCTTAGTAGCTGCTCCGTCTCTTCTTTGGTTTCTCCGAGACTAGTATGGCTCTCTAGATATTTTTCGCCCGTTTGTGTGATCCAGTCCAGGGCGACTTTACCGTTGTTCTCGAGTTCCACGTACTGAGCGCACTGATCTAAAGTACGTTTCTTTTCCGTCCAACACTCCAAAACATTGTTTTCTTTCACCATCAGATCATCAAGAATAGCACGCACTTTGTTCTCAGGCCCGTAAACCTCTTCTTCAACTCCATAGTACATAAGGGAACGATTTGCGTACTTCAGAAACGTCTGGGCAGTTTTGCGAGCCAGAGTGCACGCTCTTAGGAAGCTTTCTTTCTGCTCTTGATGTTTCTCGATCCTGAGATGCAAGGCAGCAGCTTTATCACAAATTCCTGCTTCAACACTGACGTCTTTCTGACACCAGTCGTCGTCACGTCGGTAGTCGCGCTCTAAGCTCTCCAGCACTGAACACACTTGCTCGGCCGTCTTGTAGAACGCGATCGAGGCCTGCACTAGTTTGTGTCTGCGGAGGAATGAGAAAGGAATTAGATTATTTCATTAGTTGGTGTTTGCTAAGAAATTAGTTTTTGCACAAGTTTGTGTCTGTGGAGCAATTCGTAAGGACTTCGATTTTTTCACTATTAGGTGTTAGCCAAGAAATTAGTTTTTGCACTAGTTTATGTCTGCGGAGGAATTAGTTCAAAATCAGATTCTGCCAGCTCTTGGCTATGATTCATCACTATGACCATCATGACCACACCTGTCCTCGGCACAGGTGACCAGGTTCTCCCAGTTCTTATCAATGACTCATCACTATTATCATCACCATCATCACCATCCTGACCACACCTGTCCTCGGCGCAGGTGACCAGATTCTCCCAGTTCTTATCAATGACTCATCACTATTATCATCACCATCATCACCATCCTGACCACACCTGTCCTCAGCACAGGTGACCAGGTTCTCCCAGTTCTTGGCGACGGAGTTCTTAACTTCCATGAGCTGCTGGGAGTTGCAGTGTTGCAGCTGAGCCGCTCGCTCCCTCAGCTGCACCACCGCCGCGTGCGTCTTCTCGATAGCCACCTGAACGGAAAAAAATTTATTCAATTTATTATTATTTACCAGCTGCGAACGCTAATAAAAATAAATAAATAAACAACACACCAAGAAAAATTGTTCCATTTGCTACCAGCCCCGAACACAAATAAAAATAAATAAATAAAGGACACACCAATAGAAGACCGCTCCACTCCCTGCCTGCTCGGAACACAAGTATGTCAATTTTTACTAGAAGAAAACCTCGACTTTCTATTTTACATAAAAAACACAAAATAAAAATAAAATAAAAATAAATAAAAACGCTCAATTCGCTACATGATCGGACACCTTGAAGAGTCAGTCTCGTGTATTATTTAATCCTCAGCTCACGGATACCTGAGTTCACGTTAATATAAATCATATTAAAAGCACTGTAACGATTTAACTTGAGAAGGCAAAAGCTCCATAAGATCCGAGACTAAACTCATTAACCCTTTGTCTACTTGCCGTAGATACGAACTGCTGGTGGTGCTTGAGCAGTAATTGTTTTTAAACTACAACAAAAGAGTGAGGGAGGTTGCCTGACCTGAAACTGGTGCGGTAACAGTCAATATTGTATTATAATTGTAATCGAAAACTGAGGCAATTAAGCTGACTTGGAATTTTTACTATACGCCAGGACATGGCGTGGTAATTGAATTATCCTAAATATTAAATAATCGTAATTAAAAATAAAATAATATAAGTGACCTGGAACTGCTGATGGTCCTGGGACATGGCGTGGGCCTCCGTCAGGCAGTTGGGGACGCTGAAGCTGGCGAGGAGCATAGCGTCCCCTGAGTGGATCCAGCGCTGCACCTGTCCAGCCTGGTCCATGAAGTGCCCCAGCTGGATCACCTGCACATATCAAAGGCTTTAGTACCATCATTCCTTGATGATATTAACAGTAGATAATATCAGTTAATAATCTAGTCAGTTGAAGATATCATCAGTCGATATCAGTCAATATCAGTCAATATCATCAGTCGATATAAATAGCTGATGATATTACAAAAGGATATTGTGAACAAAATAATGATAACAGCACAAATAAAATTGGGTTCGGGGTATTGACAAAAATTACTGAATTCAAATTAAAACTTCATGCGGATTTAGAATTGGCATTATTTTTTTGGATTAAATTTCGTTTGTCTCACAGAAATTTTCTTGAGGGAATGACAATAAAATATAATCAATGACAATGTAATATAATAATAAAGTCAATATTACCTAGGTAATAATTTCTGGACCAGCACGACCTTGTTATGAGTAAATGTTGCGTGACAACATAATATATAATACATAATACAATATATAAGTGGACCTGCTCGAGCTTGTTATGTGTAAATGTTGCGTGACAACATAATATATAATACATAACAATATAATATATAACAATATAAGCACCTGCTCAAGCTTGTTCTGCTTCTCGAGAGCGACGGCATCAAGCCTGAGCTGGGCGGCGTGCAGCAGCTCCACGAGCGTCGAGACCTTGTCGCTGCCGCCCACCGATGAGGACGGCAACCCGTCCCTTGTCGTCCGCCGTCCACCACTGCTGATGGTGGTGGCGGTGACCGTGTTACCGCCGCCACCTCCACCGCCAACGCTGCTACCGCCGCTGCTGCCGCCATCGCCGCCACCGCCGCTGCAGTAGCTGTGCCGGCTGCTCGAGTCCGGCCCGCAAACTGCGACAAATACGATTTTTAAAGAAAACAAAATAGGGGAAAAAATTTCTTCAATTTCTTGTTTTTACCGAAAAATGACAGCGGTAATTATAGTTATTAATTATTGGTATTGCTTTTATTGTTGATATTATTCATATTAGAAAATACAATTTCACATTGAATTTTCATATTAATAATAAAATTTGCCATTAAAAGCTTTATATTAAAATTGATCGTACCAGGACCGCCGCTGCCACTGGAGTCTTCTCCGCCGCTGTTGGTGGGAGTGTCGCTCCCGCCACTGCCGCCACTGGCGATGCTGGCGGTGATGGTGGCGGGACCACCACCACAACTGATGGTGGCGGCGGTGGTGGTGTCATCACCAGCCTCATCATCCTCACCATCGCTGCTATCATCACACTCAAGCTCCAGGCCTGATGTCTTCAGTAGCTGCAACGTAACATATTTCCATACATTATAATGTTTCAAAAATACTTCGAAATATTATTTTATTTATTGATTGCTTCAGAAATTCTTTTAAAAAGTTTAAAAATATATTTTATTTATTGTCTATTGTTAAAAAAAATGTTTTTATGTATTTTTCCAGATTAGGTGAGATATAAATGTTCGTGTGGGATATGCATGGTTTAATGTTGAAATTTTGGTTCCAAATTCGATGTTCAACATAGAAAAATGCATTTTGTGCCCAACCTGCATAAGTTATATTAATGTTGACATTTTCGTTTGTGTCAAAACATTTTACGCACAACATAAAAAATGTGCATTTGAGCATCATAAGCACACAATTTAATTAATGTCGACAATGTAATTTGAATCACGTCGACACATTAGTTTATGTTGACATTTATCCTCATGTTAACGCATTTGACGCTCAACATATAAAGTGTACATATTTGAGCATCATATGCACAATTTTATTTTATGTCGACAATTTAATTTGGTTCTTGTGGACACATTAGTTAGTTTATTTTGACATTTATCTTCATGTCAACACATTTGACACTGAACATAAAAAATGTGCATTTGAGCATTATATGCACAATTTTATTTATATTCGACAATGTAATTTGGTTCTTGTCGACACATTTAGTTTATGTTGACACTTCATGTTAACACATTTGACGCTCAACATGAAAAAATGAGAAAAAAATACACAGAATACATTTTACATGAGAAAAAATGTATTGTCAACAGCACCTGCATGATCTCGTGCCCTCGTCTGAGAGCCTGCAGCGCCTCCTGCTGCACAGCCGCCATGTTCTCGTTGTGCAGCAGCAGCAGCTGCTCAGCTTCGTGCTGCTGCAGTCCATCCAACACATCTGCAGCAGCAGCAGCTGCACCGCTGCCGCTGCTGCTGCTGCTGTTGCCGCCGCTGCACACCGCAGCGTCGCGCGTCCATTCCTCCACAGACTCCAGCACCTGCACGGAGGATTAATGGATTACTGGGGGTACAGGGATTAATTAATGGGGGTAACGGGATTACTGTATTACTATGGATAAAGGTATCAATGATGGGAGATTAATGGATTACTGGGGGTACAGGGATTAATGGGGGTAAAGGGATTACTGTATTACTATGGATAAAGGGATCAATGATGAGAGATTAATGGATTACAGGGGGTACAGGGATTAATGGGGGTAAAGGGATTAATGGGGGTAAAGGGATTACTGTGGATAAAGAGATTAATGATGGGGGATTAATGCATTACAGGGGGTAAAGGGATTAATGGGGTTACAGGATTAACTGGAGGTCAGAAAATTCCGGGAGACGAGTGATTAATGGTCTTATAGAAGATAGTGGGCAGATTAAGTGATTAGGAGATAACGGGTGAATTAAGGGACCGTTAACTGGCAATGGATTAAACAGTACACACTAATGGGTTAATTAGCACCCACCTGATGAGCATGCCGCTGGAAGAGCCTGAGCTGGTGCAGGAGATCCAGCTTTATCCTGCGGGCGGTCCAGACGTTCTGGATGGCGACCTGTTCTTTGGCGAGCCTGTCCAGCGCCTCCTCCACCCCTGCCACTGAGCCGCACCCGCTGTCCTCCGTTACACCCATCGCTCTGAGGGGCAACATTATTAGCAGGTATATAATATTAACAGGTAAAGATTAATAATATTAAATTAAAATAATAAATCCTCCACCCCTGCCACTGAAGTCCGAACCGCACCCGCTGTCTTCCGTTACACCCATTGCTCTGAGGGCAACATTACTATGATAGTAACGAGTCAACATTGATACAATCATCGCTCTGAGGGGCAATTGATGTTAATACAGGGAGTGAAGTAAAAGAAATTTTAGCAAATATGAATATTCAACGAGAAGAGCAATCCATCGCGTCGTCATTAAAGTTCTCATAAAAGCCTAACAATTGAGTGCTAGAAAAACATGAGCAAACTAGGCAGGGAATGACCAAACCGTTCAAAACTTTTGTACATAGAACATTGCTTTCAAAAATAGTTACGAGTTCGTCCTAACTCTGTCAAGATGTTGAAGGATACCTAAGCTGCTGCAGGATACCTAAGCTGCTGCAGGATACCTAAGCTGCTGACCTCGGCCTCATGGTTATAACAAAAATAATTAGCGTGACCTCGGCCTTATGGTTATAACAAAAATAATTAGCGTGACCTCGGCCTTATGGTTATAACAAAAATAATTAGCGTGACCTCGGCCTCATGGTTATAACACTCATATAAATGAAAGCATCACCTCGGCCTCATGGTTATAAAAGAAGACGGCGAGTTGGAGGAGCTGGCGACGTTGGTGCACCCTGGCGACGAAGGAGCTGATGTGGCTGTCGAGCTGCTGGGCCACGTTGTAGATCTCCTGCGGGTTACACTCCCCAGTGTGGGCCAGCTCCTCCGCCGCCTGCAGCAGCTTCTCCGCGTTGGTGTACGTGTTCTGTATGACATTACGGTGATTAATTACATTAATTATATTAATTTGAAATAAACATTGAAATAACCACACGAGATTACAAAGCATTTAGGTTGCCGGTTAAACGTCAAATAAATGTAGCAGCTTCTCCGCGTTTGTGTACATGTTCTGTATGACATTACGATGGACTTGGGTTTAAAGTTCAACGTGAAATAAACATTGAAATAATCACACAAGATTACAATGCATTTAGGGTGCCAGTTAAACGTCAAATGAATGGTGAAATAATTTCACGGCATTGTGGTGTTTAGCACCAAAATTGCAACTGGAAATAATTAGTTAGCGTGCGTGTTCTGTATGACATCATGGTGGACTTAGGTTGAAGGTTTAACTTGTAATAAACATTGAAATAATCACACGAGATTACAAAGCATTTAAGTAAACATCAAATAAATGGTAAAATTTCACGCGATTATGATGTTTAGGACAAAAGTTAAAATTGAAATAAATAGTTAGCTTGCGTGTTCAGTATGACATTATGGACTTAGGTTGATGGTTCAACTTGAAATAAACATTGAAATATTTTCACAAGATTACAAAGCATTTAGGTTGTCGGTTATATCTTAATTATAATAATAAATGTTAAAATAATTTCATGCAATTATGGTGTTTAGGAGCAAAAGTTCAAATGTAAATAAAGTTTTGCGCGCGTATTCTGTATGAAATTATGGAGAAACTTAGGTTGAAGGTTCAACGTGAAATAAATACTACATATTGTCTTAATTACGATAAATGTTAAGAGTTCAACCTGAAATAAAGGTTTACATAACTTTAATCAAAAAGTATGGTTCTACTTGATATAAACGTTGAAAATTTTCAATTAATAATACAGTTCACACAGAGTATAGGTTTAAATAATTTCACCCAAATATTACGTTTAAAAAATAGCGTTTTAAATAATTCTATTAAATAGTACGCGGTCCTGCGTTGAATTTGCATTTGTTCACATGCTATGAACTAACGGAAAATTAATGCTAATTAACATAATGAGAGCATTGCAGTTCTTGTGCTGGTCACGATATGGTAGTGCTTTTGTGTCAGCATACGTTGGTGCTATAGATAGTCTTGGTGCTAGTGTTTGTCAAGATAGTGCTATTGTGCCAGCGTACGTTGGTGCTAGTACTAGTGCTGGTGTTAGTGGACATGTTCACGCTAATGTTCATGCTGATGTCCCACCTGCGCGACCATCTCGAAGTGCTCGTGGCTCTTCTGGTACATGCGCGCCTTGGCAAGGCAGCGGCCCACGCCGGGGTTCTTGCAGAGGAAGACTTCGCCGTGCGTCGCCAGCCAGTCCATTACCTGCACAGTCCATTAATATCCATTATCTGCACTACAGTCCAGGCCATTACCTGCACTACAGTCCAGGCCATTACCTGCACAGTCCATTAAGGGGACCTTATCGGTCAAAATCTATTTTCTATATTTATGGAAGGATCGTCTCCAAACTTGGTATACATATGTATAAAAGAATTCTAAGACTATTTTGTTTGTGTAAAATATTCGAAAAATTGAAAGAAAACGTGAAATTCATAGAAAACGGCCAAAAAAGGGGGTACTCAAAAAAAGTTTTAACTGTTGCAAATCACATGCTACAACATCGAGACACGTGTCATTCGATGCGTAAAGACCATATCTAGCGATTCTCGGGCCACTTTTTCAATTTTTTTCTTGGTTCTCTTTTTATGACGATTTTTCTGAAAAAAATAATTTTTCGAAATATACCAATATTTCCCCCCCCCCTTTTCAAAATATTTTCAAAACTATAACGAAATCTAAAAAAGTGGCCCGACAATCTCTAGATATTTTAAAAGCGGATCGAATGGTGTATATCTCATCGCTGTAGTGTGAATGTAGTGGTGTATATCTCATCACAAGAAGTGTGAATGTTCAGGACAGCGCAACAAAGTCCCGGGCGCCTTAAAATCGGCATTCAAGATGGCAGGGATGCGAGACTTGACGTTACAGGAGCTCAAGTTCTGTCAAGGATGGTGCGAGCGACGGCGCGAGACCCACCCCGTACGACTGCAGCAAGGTTACTGGATCTGTGTGTCTGTAGACTAGCTATTTATAGTGCACTACGGGAATTATTCCCCATGTTATATATGAAAGAACTCCCCCAACCCCCTCCCTTGCGGGATCTGTCCTGAAAGCATAAATCAACGTACAGAGATGGTTTTGGTACCGTTGGATAGCTCAGAATGTCAGCTTTAAGATGAGACTAAAAACCGGAAAAGCCAAATCTGTCGATTTTGGACCGATAAGGTCCTCTTAATATCCAATATCTCCACTACAGTCCAGGCCATTACCTGCACTACAGTCTGGCCATTACCTGCACTACAGTCCATTACTTGCACACATAAATTTCTTGTATGCTATCTTCATCACTGCGAACAGTGAACATCAGCAGTCCACGTGTTACGCACCTGTTTGGCATCCTCGTATCCTACGTGTCATGCCACGTATCCTACGTATGCCGTGTATCCCACATGCCACATATCCTACGTGTCATGCCACGTATCCTACATATGCCGCGTATCCCACATGCCACGTATCTCGTGTGTCACGGCACGTATCCTACGTATCACGCACCTGCTTGACATCCTCCTGGAAGAGCCTGAGTGCCAGGCGCTGGTGCAGCTGGTGCTTCTTGTCAGTCCAGCGCTGCTCGACGGCGCGGTGGTGCGCCAGTATCTCGTGTATCACGGCACGTATCCTACGTATCACGCACCTGCTTGACGTCCTCCTGGAAGAGCCTGAGTGCCAGGCGCTGGTGCAGCTGGTGCTTCTTGTCAGTCCAGCGCTGCTCTACGGCGCGGTGGTGCGCCAGTATCTCGTGTATCACGGCACGTATCCTACGTATCACGCACCTGCTTGACGTCCTCCTGGAAGAGTCTGAGTGCCAGGCGCTGGTGCAGCTGGTGCTTCTTGTCAGTCCAGCGCTGCTCCACGGCGCGGTGGTGCGCCAGTATCTCGTGTATCACGGCCAACACGTGAGACGCGCCCTCGCTGTAGTCGCTCGCAGGGCTCCCCACAGCCACGCCGCCCTTCCCTTTACCTGTCAATATTTTGTTTGTGATTATACTTAATTATAAAAAGATGAATGATAAAAAACGGTCTTTTAATTTGATTTTCTTGCAAATAATCCATGCTTAATAATGATTTCTAAATAAAGTAAGCCTCATAATAGCTAGTTATGAGCAGCATAATTAGAGCAAATGCCCACCAGGCTGCGGGGTGGAGCTCGTTGACGTGGACGCTGAGGAAGACCCTGAGCCGCTGCCAGGCTGGGGCTGTTGCTGAGACCCTCTGTAGACCACCTTACCGTCCGGGGTCACCTGCCATAGTGATAAACTTGTCAAATGTTAACCTTATACTAAAATATGATGACGAGCTTGTCAAATATTAACCATATACTAAATATGATGACGAGCTTGTCATATGTTAACGTTATACTAAATATGAAGACGAGCTTGTCAAATGTTAACGTGGTACTAAATATGAAGACGAGCTTGTCAAATGTTAACGTGGTACTAAATATGATGACGAGCTTGTCAAATGTTAACGTTGTGAAAAAATGGTCGAAGGAATCTACCGTAGCGTCGGGGTAAATTGTCATGGGGACAATCTTGTAAACTGATTACGTTATGTAATAATTAAAAATAGTGACATGCTTGTCTAACGTCAACGTTAGGCTTACAATGGCGACTTGCTTGTCTAATGTTAACCTTATTAAAAAATAATTGGTGTCAAGCTCGTAAACACCACAGGAGGTTCATTCAAACTCCTAAAATAACCAACAGAAAAATTATTCAACTTGAAAGCATTAAGTAATATAGAATTTTCTTGATATTCATGTATAAATTGCGAGGGCTAGTGAACAGTTTTTCTAGAATTTATACACAATACTGGCAATAAAAGCTATATATATTCATGAAGAGATAAATATGTAACCTCAATAAGTACTTACACAGATAAATGAGGAGCAGGAAAAAATGAATCACTTCTCTTTCTAGTCAAAATTGCCTGGACTGAAATGCAGAAATTTATTTCATAAATAATTAAATTCCAATATTTTTTTATTGTTTTGTATCTTACCGAATAAGCTGATGGCTTGCCACGAGGTTTCTTCTGAAAAATTTTAAAAATCAAAATTATTAAGAGAAACAAGAGGCACAGATGGGAAAAAATTAACAGCATTAATGAAGGTACAAATGTTTATGAGTAAATACACATGAATAACTTTACATATCTGGATTTTTATACAGAACAAAGGAGCCGAAGACTTTGGCACTATCACCCATCGGAATTTTTGAGATGCCACATCGAAAATTTATAAATTTTTTTCTCATATTATCGCCTGTATTTGTATTGTTATCTGTTATCAGGTAATAATAATAGTAATAATGCTTGTTATCTGTTTTCAGGTAACACTTTTCATGACAATATCCAAAATATCATGGCGATTTATATAGTTAAAATTTTATTGCTATCCACGATCAGATAACAACGATGAACAGTAAAACTGTCATGACGACACTGAGGTTTATCCTTTATTGCTATATGTTATCGGATAACACTGATTACATGACGCAAACTGTCGTGATTAAATGCCGATTTTTAAATAACATTCATATCAATTATCAGATAACATTGTTCACAACAACACGAAAAGTGTCGAGATGACCCATATTTTTTTCATTTATTTTAATGTAATATGAATTATTGGATATCACTGGTCACGGAATATTTTTATCATTTATTTTAATGTAATATGAGTTATTGTATATCACTGGTCACGGAATATTTTTATCATTTATTTTAATGTAATATAAAGTATTGGATAACACTGGTCACGAAATATTTTTATCATTTATTTCAATGTAAAATAAAGTGTTGTATAACACTGGTCACTGAATATTTTTATCATTTATTCTAATGTAATATAAAGCATTGGATAAAACTGGTCACGGAATATTTTTATCATTTATTTCAATGTAAAATAAAGTGTTGTATAACACTGGTCACAAATAGTAACATAACTCACGTGTTTGGCGCGCAGTGGCGTGTCACGCCGCAGCTGGCTGCATATCTGGACCAGGTGATCCAGCTGGTACAGCAGCTTCTTGCTGGTGCTGTGCACCTGCACGGTATGGGGTACATTATGGTACAGCTGGTGCTGTGCACCTGCACGGTATGGGGAACATTACGGTACAGCTGGTGCTGTGCACCTGCACGGTATATTATACATTATGGTACAGCTGGTGCTGTGCACCTGCACGGTATGGGGAACATTACGGTACAGCTGGTGATGTGCACCTGCACGGTATATTATACATTATGGTACAGCTGGTGCTGTGCACCTGCACGGTATGTGGTACATTATGGTACAGCTGGTGCTGTGCACCTGCACGGTATGTGGTACATTATGGTACAGCTGNCAGCTGCTGGGGTCTCACCTCAGTGTACGCCTGACACATGGTCTCATACAGCTGCTGGTGCAGATGTATGTTGGTTTCAAGTGTGCGGATGTCGTTGCTGAGACCCGACACAGAACAAGACTCCAGCCAGCCCGACACCGACTCAATGTACTGTCGGGGCAGAACAACCATGAGGACTCAAGAGGTAGAATTGAGATAGAACAGAGGTAGAACATAGTTAGAATTGAGGTAGAACAGAGGTAGAACATAGTTAGAATTGAGGTAGAACAGAGGTAGAACATAGTTAGAACAGAGTTAAACCATATTTCTTTACTTGATAGATTGGTAGTTCAAAAGATTCATCCATAAATAAGCCACAATTTGGAAGAAATCACCTAGTTAATAGACAAAAAAGTATTGTAGTTTGAAAGCATAAATTCACAATTTTCCCTCAAAACTATAAAGACTGCGTCGATGATTGAAGGTAAATATTTGTCTTGACCCGCACCTGTTCAGCCTTCTGATGGAACATGACGCTGAGAGCCAACACTGAAGACCGTTCATCAAGACCAGCAGCAAACTCCTTCCACACCTGCCATACAGAAATACATAAGCATTACTAAAGTGAATAAGAGTCCCTACTTAAATTGAGTAACTTAGTCCTTATTTAAACCTAAATTTTAACTTCAACTCCTATTTACTTTTATTTATATGAACTTAATAATTGTGCTTTATGTGCCAGTAAAAATTGTGGGAGTAAACCAACGTATATTAAAATTTTCCCTGTACCATGGCATACAATATGCAAAATTGGAATGTTTATTTGACTGTAATGCTCACCTGATCAAGTTTAGTGGCCAGCGTTGCTATGTGTTGGGCAGCGTAGTGGTTAGACTCGATGAGGTGATGTGCAACACTTAGGATCTTGTTCAGATTCAGGTACACTTTCTGCACAAAATCATGAACACTTAAAACAAATCAAGCAATCAGAAAAATAAGTTATTGATAATTTGGGTACCTACATAAGGCTAATCGTGATAATTGCCTGCAAGGCGGTAATGCTTGCCGGAAGGTGGTAATACTTACATGAAAGGTGGTACTAATACCGGTAGTTGCTTGAAAGACGGTAATACTTGCCAGGCAGGCAGTAACACTTGCCTGGCAGGCGGTAATAATTACCTGCAAGGTGGCAATACTACCTAGCCAGGAAGGCGGCATTAGTTACCTGGCAGGCAGTAATCCTGGCCTGGCAGGCGGTATTAGTTACCTGGCAGGCAGTAATCCTGGCCTGGCAGGTGGTATTAGTTACCTGGCAGGCAGTAATCCTGGCCTGGCAGGCGGTATTAGTTACCAGGCAGGCGGTAATATTCACCTGACACGCGACAGTGAACTGCGAGTGTGACTCCTGGAGATGCTTGGCCATGTGGCAGGTGTGGCCGATCTCGACGTAGCTCACGAGGAATTCTTCTCTATTGTGGTAGAGCCAGTCAAACATCTGCGTCAGTGGGATAATTAATGCGTTGGTATTAATGTCGTTCGGACAATCAACACCTGCTAGAGAACAGTTATTCACCAAGCAAGTTATCAGTAATGCAATTGTAATTATTTGTAAGCCCAGCCAGTCTGAAGCATTGTGGTAGAGCCAGTCAAACATCTGCGTCAGTAGGATAATTAATGAGTTGGTATTAATGTCGTTCATCAGTAGGATAATTAATGATGAAAGTTGGCATTTATGTCGTTCAGACAATCAACACCTGCTAGAGAACAGTTATTCACCAAGCAAGTTATCAGTAATGCAATCGTAATTATTTGTAGGTAAGCACAGCCATTCCGATGCATTGGTGTGCCAGAAATTTGACACACAAAGCTTAAGAGATACAGCCGGTCAGGATTTTACATAAATATTTTTTCAATGGAGATTGAAATAGGTATATAATATAAGCTCAAAACCGCTCATAAACACTCCTTAGGGGAACAGTAAAATGAATATAATCGCACAAAAATTGTATTTCTGATGCAAGGAGAAGCAAATATGCATGAGCCAATTAGTAGCAATTAGACAAAACATGGACGATTGCGTTCTCACGATAAGTATTGTTCTATAGTGAACGTCATAACGTGTTACTTGAAGGGTTTTATGGAGACCAACTGTCTGTAGAGACTAGAGGCTGGACTCAGAAAACTTGTTTAAGTACAAGTAGCAGCCTAAGTACTACACGTATTGGCACATTTCTTGTCCGTCATTAATTGGTTAAGCTTGAAAAACCATCAGTGATTGACCTTAAAGAGTTACGAACTCTTAAACATTTATGACAGAACAGCCCCAAACCTTCTCGACGTCCTGCTCGAGCATCCTAAGCTGCAGGCACTGCTCGAGGCGATGTTTCTTGCTCATCCAGGACTGTTGCACGCGAGCCACGCACGTCTCCACGCTCGATAGGCTCCTCATGATCTGCAATATAAACGCAATTAGCATGGTGACTCTCAGGGGCAAGAAGAGAAATAATCTTACATTGACATCACATGAGTTTATAGGTCTGCAGAAGTCTGTGCTATAGAAGTCTGTGCTGCAGAGGTCTGCAGGAGTCTTAGTTATACAAAGAGAGAGCAACTCACACTGGGCACGCCGGCCTGCAGATCAGGCCAAATCTGCACGAGTCTTTCCTATACAATGTGGGCAACACTCACACTGGGCACGCAGGCCTGCATATCAGGCAAGGTCTGCAAGTTATTGCTATACAAAGAGAGTGCAACTCACACTGGGCACGCAGGCCTGCAGATCAGGCAAGGTCTGCAAGTTTTTGCTATACAAAGAGAGTGCAACTCACACTGGGCACGCAGGCCTGCAGATCAGGATTGGCCAGAATGAGAGACGATGAGCTGTCTCGGCCCGAGTAGCCACTATCGTAGCCGCCACTGCTGCTGACACTCTCATCGCACTGCAGCCTGTTCAATACAATCAATAGTTATTCAATATATGATGAATTATGTGACTCCAAGTATGCCTGCATAGAAAAAACTTCTTTGAATCTCGTAATATTGAGCGTGATTATTTTAAATTCATCATTTGAATGGCTACTTGTCGAAGATGAAGAGGAAGTGACCACTTCAATGTTTTGAAAAAAATCAGTTTTTCAAAAAATTATTTAGACTTCAATAAGAAACAAATCAGGCTGAATGATTTTCTACTTGAATTTTCTTCAAAGATATTTCTTGCAGACTCCACAATAACAGGCAAACTTATTCATCACACAAACTCTGCAAAATATCAACATCTATAAAAATTTTGTTCATGTGACAGCTCATCACACACAACAACATAAGAAAGGACCACTGGATATTATGGACTACAAAAGCTGAGCTGTAATAGGTCTTATAACAAAATTTTTAGGACTCTAATTGATAGCTTTAATTTTACTTTCTTAAACATATCCTGTTCTTAGACAATAGGAATATTTAGAATTGGTGTGCGCACCTACTGCATGTCAAACCTAAAGACCTGTTGAAGCTATAGACTGGTCATACACGATGACTTCCTTGATTTATTCAAATATATCTTCAAGATATTAAAGATAGAGATAAAATATCATAAAAATATTTTGTCCTAAGATAATACAAATATTTAGAATTGGAGTGCGTGGCGACCTCAGGTCAGACTCTAGACCAGGCATTCATTTATTCAAATACTACATTAAATACAGATTTACCTTTGCAAAACCAAATACCCTTTCAATACAAATTTACCTCTGTAAAACCGAATAACCTTTCAATACAAATTTACCGCTTCAAAACCGAATAAGCTTTCAATGCAGACTTACCTCTGCAAAAGCCTATGTCCCATAGTGTGGAGGTCCCGAATGGCAGGACTAGTGAGCCGCAGCTGCAGCTGCTTGTGTTTCTCCACGGCTGCCTTGGCTAAACTAACATCTTCTGCCAGGTCCGTGTTGACCACCTCATGCCGCACACTCTCCAGCTGCTCAGAGAAATTTATTACTATATTTAATTAATTAATTAATTATAATTATTATAATTAATTAATTATTTAACATTATAATTAATTAATGAATTAATTATAATGTTAATGCCAATAAGGGGTTCATAATTGAAACGAATTTTAAAAAGAGAATGGTTTATGTAAACATATACACTTTTTGAAGCTTGCTGATGTGTTGTTTTCCCTTTGGTCCAAATAATGAATCTAATTATTTTTTACATTTTTTATTTCTAAACAATATGGGGTAAAAACTCGTAAAAACACTTGAAAAGTCAGGCTCTCCTAAATCAAACTTCAGAAAGCAAGAAATAATTAATAAGTAAAATGTTTGAAGCAAGAAATTAACAATAACTAAAAGGTTTGAAGCCATTTGCTCTCAAATACCTAATACGGTAAGCTAAGAAAATATAAATTTCATGAGGAAAAATCATACATGAGGACTTTTTTAACCAGAAATAAATTTAAAATGAGAAAACTCTTACAAATGACAAAAATAAGTCACAATCTCAAAAACAAAGTGAAAAACTATGGTATTATTGGTTTACTTTGATATCTTAAAAAAATGAACCAATGTTGATCATGAAAATCACAAACCTGATCCAAGGTGCTGTTTGAACAGGCAGTAAACTCTTCAATGGCCAGCCTTAGTTCAATCCATGTGTTGTGATCATAAGGCAGTGAGCCATCAAAATCAACAGTCAGCTGAGTGGGATCAACGCTTTTGCACAGAGCACCAACTGACATCAATGAGGTCTGAAAAAATATATTTCATGTTGACACAAAAATCTTTACAATATAAGGACAGGCTGTAAAATCTTGACTAATATTTTACTTTTTAAAAACAAGTGCCAGTGGCAGTATTCAAATATGTTCAATTGCAATTCACCAATAAATATGAAGGTAAGATATTTTGAAATAGAAAACAGTTTTACCTAAAGACTATTCTTGTACAGTATTTTTTGAAAAAATTAATCTATTCAATGAATAATACGATGAAAAAATTGCCGAGAAAGAATTGCATAGTTCATGATATATTAATTCACATTTACTAATCAATGTTGAATATGAAATACATTATCCAACTGTATAATAAAGTAATGAATAATACTATAAGTTCTATATATTAAGTCACTTAATATAGGTACCTATATACCAGTACATTAGGTATTTATATATATATATATATATATTAAGTAAAAATAAACTGACAAGCAATACTGATTAGCCCAATTTTTAATTCAATGTTTTAGGAAGTTATATTCAGTTGACAAATGACATTAACACAAGATAAGAATGTAATATTTCAGTAAGATTTGTTCAGTAAATGAGTGAAAATCAGTGCTTACCTCAAATTTATATTTCTGGCTGCCAATGCTAGTGCGCTGTTTTTGCCAGAAGTTGTCAGGTTTGATGATGTAAACAATGTGTACAGTGTGGGCAAAAGTGAGGTGCAGTTCCTTCAGCACAGGCTTCACAGTGCCCCAGGTGCTCCCTCGCATGTCAACTATCACAGTGAAGCCAAGCTCGCATACTTCTTCACTGTTACATCAAATTAAATTAAGACAATGAAATCAACTTTAAAACTGCATTTATAACATTCAAAATTATGATTAGATAATATACAAAAGTACAAAAAGAATGACTTGGCTTGTGTTAGGTAGCAAGAAAATTCAAGTAGGAAATTACAAAGCATTCCTGTATCATAAAAATATTTCATTTGAGTAGGTACTTCTTTTCTTTATATAACCTCATATAATAAGTTGGAAAAATGGCATTCAGTTGAGGTTGGACCGTTGGAGGTACCAAAAAAGTTTTGGACAAGTATATCATACATTTCATTGATAGTCTACAAATTCTGTTATTATTACTTTCTATGAAAATTGATGTTTCACCTGGGAATTCTAGTGAGGTAATGCAAGAGTGGACGGTAGTCTGTGTGCTTTAACTTCTCTCTTTTATCACACGCAGGGAACGTAAGAAGCGGTCCACCTCGCGGGTCTCTACCCCCAGACAAGAAAGCAACTTTTTCATGGAGTATGGCCATCACATCCACTGCACGCAAGCTCTCCACACGCTTTCCGCAACCTGTATGAAAAACAAACATATAATTAAATGTCTATGGCATCATGTATATTTACTTCTTTCATGGATATAATGTTAGTCCAAATCATATTGTCAGGGGGGTTAAATTTTTAAAGAAACTATTTTAAACTTGATTGAGAATATATGTAGTTTCTTGTTTCAAGTCCCAGAAGGATTACTAGAATTTGAAACAAGAACCAACACAAGGGACCACAGCTATAAACTAAGAAAACTGCAGTGCAACTCATCCATGCAACAACACTTCTTCTTGCTTTGAGTCACCGACATGTGCAACAGCCTCCCTGAAGATATTGTTGATGCACAAGTATGAATGCGTTCAAGACAAGGCTATGCAGGAGCATATGCTTAGTCTTGACAAGCTCATATCCTATCATCCTATGACCTATGGAACAACTAAAATCTAGAAACAATATCAAACCTACTGTCTGTTGAAAAGATTTGATTGAAAGGCCAGTCTAGTCAAGAAAAGTACAAGAATTGGCTACAGGCCTATCATGGCATATTCTTCAATGCCAAAGATACTATATTATACATTTGTCATAACATCATAAACATTAATGTGCTTTGTAGTTTGTATGTGTGGGCTAAATTTGCTTTGTAGTAAAGCAAGTTGAGAATTTCACTACTTGTTGCTAAAATCATTCAATTTGAAAATAAGTTATTTAAATGGCAGTTTTTATAGATATAAAATAATAAGTGTTTTTAAATGGCAGGCAGAAACTATTGTTTTGCAGTAATTTTCAAAAATCTAAGGTGGATATACCTAGGTAGGCTGTTTTCCTTTTCACTGAATAAATTGGGATAAACCATGACATGAAAAGGGGTAAAATTTACCAGATACAAAGGTTTTCTATGTCTGATTCACTGGTGGTTCCTGCCAAACTTTCCACTTGGGCAAAAAACAATTGTAATTCTCTAAAGTCATGTATGAAAAAATTAGGCCATTTTTCTTATTTTTCACAAAAGAAATCAGAAAATTATCATAGAAACTGATCAAATTTGCCAGATTTGAACTGATTTTTGTCTTATCCACAGTTAGTTTGTGCCCAATTTTCCAGTTAGGGAAACTTGAAGCCCAAGCCCAATTCCATACATAGATGAAATACACTAATACAGCAAATAGGCCATCCTGAATCCTGATTCCTAAATATATGCCAACTGGCCAAGGCTAATGCGTTTCTATTTTTAGATACTAGATAACTCTGGGTAAAATATCCATTAATATTAATTCGACCTGGCAGTTCTTCTTGTTTATAGTTTGAAGTTGATTCTTGTTGACTCGGTAAATAAATAACACCACTATAAATGAATACATATACACCTAAATTCGAGGCATTTTAGCAACAATTCATGTTTGTTTCCTTGTTCATACCGGATTTAAATCCTTCTGGTGTTTCTGGGTCTGATGAATCATCGCTGTGATAATCCATTTCGTCATATTTTTAGCAATAATTAGAAACAGCGAGCGAAATGACAACACCCCACCATCTTCAAACGTCTTCCGCAACTGAAGAGCTTGTGTTTGTTGACATCAATGGCTCCAGAGTTCACAATGGGAACTTTTTAAAGCATTCTAGCTCAAATACGTAATTTTATCCATAATAATATTGATCTTTGAATGTAAGCGCAAAAAATTTTTTATCGTCCGTATCTGGAAATTTTTTCACGGATATTATTTGAATTGGAGCCAACATATATATATTTAAATAAGCATGGATAGCATGTTTTAAATTTTGCTCCGATACATCTAGCGCATTAGGCAAACTATATAATCTAATGAAAATAAATTGAGCTAATTTCTTAGCAGCGAGAACTCAATTTCAATCATTGACTGGATTCTGGAACAGTCTTTAAATTGTTCAAAGGCTTTTCTATCAACTGCATCTGCTGCATGAGGAAAATCCGTCAATTAGGCATGATAAAGTCAGACTCAAATATTGAGTCCAGTCAGTGGTTCATTGAATTCGGTAGAGTTTGCGTCGAATCGGCGTACGTAAGACGATTTAATTGCAAAAGAAGTGGTGTGCATGAACTAATTTAATTTTTGGGAATCGGTTCATTTATAATTTCCTAAATTAATCGTGATTTGAATCAATTATGTATGATAATCAGATAATGCTGATATGATTGATAGCCATGAATAATACTGGTCAACAAATAGGACTCAAAAATGAACTCGAGTTGAGAGGCTTGAGACTTGAGAAAGAGTCGAATCAAAAACTCTCTGCTCTGCCTCTATTTAGTCTGTTATTTTATTAAATATTAATAATTAATAAAGCTGATGCTGTATCTACCTATTAGATTCATACAGCATCAGCTTTAATAATTTACTATGGTTTTATAATTTTATTGTCTTCACTCTTCAGCATTGAATTTGCTTAGCTAGCCTATTTAGCCTACCTTGCACTTGCAGAAAATTATTACCGTCAAATGGGGTAATAACTAATAAGAGATGGTTTTGAGCATTTTTTTGCTAAAAACTTCTCCATGAAACATATCATCAACAAGTATGGGCTCTTCGCTCTTGGTCTTGTTAAGGGCTTTGCAAGGGCTATTGTAGTAAGTTAGTATGGAATATTAGAAACCTAGCACGTCTTGGGCAAACTTACGGCCCAGACTCATGGCTGGTCTCATGACCAATCTCCAATTAGGCTACTTGGCGAGCCGCGACTGAATTTTTTGAGCCGTGGTTTTATGGATTTGCCAGCCGTGATTCCATTTCTACGAGCCTTTCACCGAGCCGTGAATTCCATATCTCGGCCATGAAAAGCCATTTACGAGGTGCGAATGCGAATTTATTTACAAAGTTTATGCACGTGTCACCCCAAATCTCTAATTTTACCCTTAAACAGTCAAACGGCAACAATAAAATTTGTCTCTACTGTAAGTTCAGCACGTGTTAATATACAGTCTGACCGCTTTGACATGACCGCTCCGCAACTATGCGCGATCTTCAACAAACGTTTTGTTTATTTGTTTACATTACGATGTTTATGTTTTTTCTGCAAGATATTTTTGGCGGAAATGGTAAAGCAATGCGGATTGCGGAAGTTGAAAATTTTATGAAATGACATGTTTGCGAAGTGCAAACCACGATTTTTTAATCAAACAAAAATTTATGACATTCGAGCTGCGAGATTTCATACCTACTGAAATTATATGATATTAGAGCCACGATATTTCAGACAAAAATAGGACTTTTCCAGGCTAGGTAGTAAGGCATAGGCTATGGCAATTTCATTGTGGAATTATGGACAGGCCTAGGTAGGGTAAAGTCCGGTGGTAAACACATCATATTCCGACACCTTAAGGGGGAGGTATACCCTAAAATTTTTGGATTCGGCTTTTCTGGTATTTAGTATTGTCTTAGAAAGTTAGAGCTGACATTCTGCCCTATCCAATGATACCACTGCCGCACTGCGATCCCTCTACGTGAATTTTTACTTACATGACGGCATAGTGGCAAAGCAGAGAGTTTTTTAGACTCTCCCTCAAGTTCATTTTTGAGTCCTATATGTAGACCAGTAAAGTATCCTGGATACCAGCATTATCATACTTGAGAAATTGGTTTAAATCTTGAGTAAATGAGAGAATTAAAAATGAACTGATTCTAAAAAAGCTCTGGTTTGCCACTATGCATGACGGCTCTTCAAAGGGGGGCGGGTAAGGGAGTTCCTTCACTAATTACATACAAGTAATTAGCTGCTGAGCATTTTAAATATAATTTCTACTTGAGTTGTGCTGCAGCCATGGTCAGGAAGATGTGCCAGGTGCGCGGGAATTTATTTTGTCATTTAACGACCTGCGCGTTGCGCCGTACTACGTTGGTAAAAAAATGCGCCGTGCGCCGTACTTTAGAAAGCTAAAATAGTTTTACTATTTTAGTCAACAATATACGCGAGTATATTGACTACGCAAGTCGACAATAATAAAATATAAGACATGTCCGGCCAGTCCAGGTTACTTCTGACTCTTCCGGTTGTCCGCCTTGTCGGCTACGGAATGTACGGTAATTGTAAACTGCGGCTGTTATACATACGAAATGTAAACAGACGGTGTTCAGTGTTGCCATATGACTTTGCAGAAAATTTCTTCTAAAATAAAGATGGCCAGGATTGCGCGAACACGTGCGCGAAGATAATCAATTTTCATCACATTACGCCAACTGTGCACAGCAATACCTTGAAAAAAGTGAAAATGCACGGGAAAATTCACCGAAAACATACATCATCCTGAGTGTGGTGCTGCAGTTACATGCTTAGTCTCATCTTAAAGCTGACATTCTGAGCTTTTCAACGATACTACTGCGATAGCTGTGAGTGAATTTTAACGCACACAGCGGGGTTCTAATAGGGGGTGGGGGTGGATTTCCTTCAAAAAATAGATAGGACTTAATTCACTTGCTAAGACTACATATATTGGTGTATCTGGCATCAAAGCTCAGTTACCCTGCTTGCTTCATACGGAGACATGTTCTGCAAGACGCTGCTAGCTTCCTTGAGTGGAATTAGGCTACAGAAGCCTGTAGTTTGGTCTCTATGCTACATTGAGTGTCTATTTCAAGGCGCATGGAACTTTATTGCGCTGTCCTGAAAAGTTCAACTTTGTCACGGAAAAGCCTACTCCTCCTAGAGTTTTGAAGCTACAGCAATGAGACATATACCATTCTATTTGTAAAGACCATGCCTATCAATTAACGAAGCCCTTTTTTAGATTTGTGCATAGTTGGGATTCAAAATGGGGGGGAAGAGGGGGGAAAATGAGAAAAAATGGAAAAAATTTAAATGTGTGTAAAAAAAACTAAGGCAAAAATCAAAAATCTGACTTTGTTAATCAATTGGTATGGTCTTTACAAATGAAATGGTATGTGTCCCATCGCTGTAGCTTTAAAACTCTAGGAGGAGTAGGCTTTTCCGTAGTACCCCTTTTTTCCGTTTTCTATGAATTTCACGTTTTCTATGTATTTATTCGAAAAAATCACATAAACAAAATGTGATTCTTTTGCAGTTTTACACATATGTGTGAAGTTTCAGGAAGATCCGGTCGTAAACAAAAAAGTTTTTTTGGAGGGTATACCTCCCCCTTAAGGACGTAGCAAGAAATAAATGGCTATAAATAGATCACTGTATGCGCAACTCTAGTTCTGATTGGTTTATGTCACTCTCAAAACCCCACACTGTCCGCCAAAAATGATGAAACATCACAAACTGTTGCCATATTTATTTAAAAGCCTTTAGAATTAAAATCTACAAAATCGCTGAATTCTGACACTGTGTGTGACTAAATGCGGCATATTGTAAAACTAATTCTGACAGCTCTTCAAAATCGCAGATCATAATTCCGACACCCTGTGTTGGAATTCCAACATCCTGTGTGAGCAGCTGTGTTGGAATATGACAGTAAATGATACCCTGTGTCAGGCTGTGTGTTGGAATTAGTTTTAATGTGTCTAAAATTGTCTCTTAAAAGATTAAATCGATCATCTATTAATTTATTTACCACTTAAAATTAGCAAATGCAAGTATACTTAAAGGATTCCTAACATTATAGTAACATATTCACAGACTTATATAAAAGTCTCAAACCATAATATTCTTTCTAAACAAGCAGTTTAGTAAAGCACTATTTAGTAAAGCAAGGTCAACTATCAACTTTCATACGTGTTTTGATGTTCTCACTAGTTGACTTGAACATTTGCTCTGCGGATCTTAACATTTTCCCACTAGACCTAGTGTTTTGCAGAAATCTGATGCGCAATAGTATGTGACGTCACTATTTCAACCATCTACGCATGTGTGGAACTAAGACCAAGCTTAATATAAATGAAAAAGTTGAGGGGTATGGGAATTATCCAGTGTCAGAATATGGTGCGTTTACCGTTACCCTATGATCAAACTCATGATTACCCTATGGTCAAATTCAGTGATCAAACTCATTGAGGAGATTTCCTCAATGCCCCATTTTGTGAAAATCTCTGCCATTTTGTTTTGGATTGAGGTAGGTACCGGTATGCAAATTCCATCAATAAAGTTTGAAGCCAATGGTACCTGTCTGCAAGTTTTTTTAGCAACATTTTTGAATACAGTGAATATTATATTTACTACAAACCTTAGCAGAAGTAATTTTCCAAAATATAATATAAAATTTTTTCAATGATTTTTTGGAGCTGATGATGTATGATTTCTTAACTTGCTTTATGCTATATAGATGGTAAAAAAATTGAACTTTACACCACAATTTTTAGTTTTTCAACATTGTGATTAGTTTAGCTCAGTGGTTCCCAAACTTTTTCAGGCTGGCACCCCCTTTGGCTCCCTAGTGAATTTCTAGCGCCCCCCACAGACACAAATAAAATCATGCACCTCTTTCTATAAAATTTAGTATGCTGCAATTTTAAAAGATAATGGTTAAACACAAATGTGTACCTATTTTACAAATAAAACCCCTTTTAGTGAACCAATATGTTTTTTAAGCTGTTGTAACTGTTTCAGTA